AACAAGTAATACCGTACTGTAGGTTTATTCCATGCTGAAAAGAGAAGAAAGAAAACGCAACATTTCGGCCATGGAGCCTTCTTCAGTACTGAATTAGTAGTCTTTTAAAATGTCTAGTAGTGCAAAATCAGCTTTTACGCAGTTTCCAGCTGTGTACTGTTAACTGACCTTTAACTATAATAACCAGAGGGACTTAAATTATTTTCTTTCTTAAGATCTTTACCAGATTCTCTCTCAGCCACCTTGTATTGCGACTGAAAAGTTTCTTCATCCTGTCCTCATAACTCATCTTTCAAAACCCTGGAGTTGCTCTTCTTTGGACTTCCTTCTGTATTTCTTGGTCCCCTTTGTAATGTTGTTTAACTACTGGAGACCAGAGCTGTGTGCAGTACACCATATGTGTTCTAACTACTGGAGACCAGAGCTGTGTGCAGTACACCATATGTGGTCTAACTACTGGAGACCAGAGCTGTGTGCAGTAGTTCAGATGTGGTGTAACTAATGCATTGTACAGTTTCAGCAGTCTCTCTCTTGACTTGTTTTCTATATCCAGAATGAAAGATTGGGTTACCAGCAGTGCAATCATTCCTGTCTAATAATAGTGGCCTCCAGGAACTTAATGCGAAGCCCTGCCTGTCCAATGGTCTCTCAATGCAAACATTCTGAGGAAACGTGCGCCATCGTTAATGGATACAATAGAAATCACTGCCTGATAAGTGAATTTGTAATTTAATGTCGATCGGGGTGAACTAGCTTTTCTGTTTCACGTTATTCATCCTGGAATATGTTAAAAGCAGATCTGTAAAGTTTCCTATATCAAGTTTGTTTTCAATGTGCACTTTTTAGGATTTAAGGATTTGTTCTAGTGGTTTCTTATAAATTCTTCTAAAGAAATGTTTAGCGTTAGCTAAACGTTTTGCTTCCAGGAATGTGTATAAGGTACAGTCTTATAAAATCTGACTGGGGTAAATTCACATGGTCATTTTCAAGTTTTCCTCTGCTTATATTGTGAATTTGCAGTGCCGTACCATAGACTCCATCATGATTTTTATACTTCTATGTTCTTTCACATTGCTTTTACCAGGAGTTTACTGCTTACATTTTGATTTTTCTGTTATATACACCAGTATTATTAGGGATTTGTAAGCATCATGATATTCAAGAGACGTGGCACAAGAAAGTGTTCTGAGTTACAAGATACGAGATCAATAAGAAACAAGCAATATGAGCTTTTTTGCTCTCATTTTCACTTTTGGCACTTCCCTGTGAGACAACCGAACATATCTAGAGCATCACTTGTTTTCCTGAAACATGAGGAAGTGCAACTTTGTTTAGCAGAGAAGAGTATATAATTAAAGTAGAGTCTAGTCCGATTGATCTCAACCGCATGCAAATTGTATATCTATTCTAGTCTCTTGTCTCTCTCTGATACTACTGTCTTCTTGGGAAAGTCCAGATTCTTTCTTTCGGGAGGTATTATTTTAGTTGATTTTACTTGCTTATATTAAAAGGGTGAATATAAATATAAAATTCTTCTTTTGACCAGCATGTGGTCCGTTTTCCATGAGCATTATATGGTGTGTACCATATAATGTGTTTGTACCATGGTGTGTTTGATAGAAGAGAAGTTGCCTTAAATCATTTTCTAAAGTCAAATATTAAGAGTCTGGGTGACTTAGGCAATGATGTTTGAATTATTTAGAAATCTGAGTACTTCGCTCTTATTTTTACGCAAATAGTAGTCTGCCTCTGTATTTATTGATTTTTCTTGCATCTGATTTGCATAGTTTTGTTTAGTTGCTCCTAGTCCCAGTCCTGTGAACTCTGTAATATTGGATTTTCCAAGTATATTTATTTTTTGGAGTTTATTTAATAACAAGCTGTACCATGGTGAAGCAGAATGAATATTTGCTACACGTCCAGGTCCCAGAAGGCACGAGTATGTTCATACAGCACAGATTTGGAAATGTGTAGAAACAGGTAATGAGACACTTTCTGGATTTCAAAAACACGCTGTGAGTTCCTAGGAATGTGCTGGAGGAAAGGCTGGTTAGGATTGCTGTTGAGTCACATCCATTCAGTAAAAAATGACATCTGAATCCAGTTCTCACAGGTAGCTGCAGGAGAGGAAACTGAGAAGCACATCAGCGTAGAAAACCAATCTGAATCCCCTTGCCAAGGTATTGCACAACAGGCATGTACCTCACTTCCATTCCTCGCCTGTAGTCTTGAAAATTAATTTCTGGAGCTATTTTTGATAGGATGTGTGCTGTGCTGTTATCTTAACAGCAAATTATTGTAGGGAGCACCAGTTGAACCAGTGCCTTTTCATTTCAGGTGCAATGCGTGTAAAAATTGTATCCTTGGCAAGCAGTACTCTCCACAAGCCCCTGCAGGCAGAAAGACAGAGGTTAATGGCTGAAAGAACTGGCATGGATAAGGCTTCTTGGATGCAGTTGCCAGCTGTAATGATTGTATTTGGTTCTGTGGTGAAGAAATAATCGTGCAACCTTATTTAGAAAATAAACAACAGGGAGGCGAGATTAGCTTTTAGGTTCCATCACAGAATTTCAGAATGTGGATGACATTTTGGGCAGCCCAGTGGTGTAGTGGTTAGCATTGCGCCCTAGCAGAGCTGGGTTCCTGGGTTCAATTTTGGAACTGGGGTGCTACAGTATCCGTGTGGAGTTTGTATGTTCTCCCCATATTTATGGGGGTTTCCTCTGGTGCTCAAATTGCCTCCCATAGTTAAAAAAATGTAGTGATTGTTAATTGGCTTCTAGGAAAATTGGCCCTAGGTGTGTGTGTGTGTCTGTGGTTGTGTCTGTCTGCCCTGCAGTGGAATGGCATCGCGACCGGGTTGTATCCTGCTTTGTGGTTGTGGTGGGATAGGCTCTGGCTGCCCCACAACCCTGAATTGAAGAAGCAGTTAGAGGATGGATGGATAACATTTCTGCACCTTACGTTTCTGCAAGTTACAGTATAAACACTTGAGCCACTCGAAATGCGGTATGGGGACGCAGTTCCTCATGAACTTTTACTGCAGCACCACAGAAAGTGCCCTCACTAGTGGCATCACTGTGTGGTACAGCAATACTACCGTGCATGACAGAGATGCACTACAAAGGATATGATTTACCATCAATCAGTGAGATCCACACCATCCGCTGTTGCAATAAAGCCCAATCCATCATTCAGGATCCTAACCATCCCACCCACAAAGTGCTCTCCCCCCTACCCTCTGGCAGGCAGTAATGTACTGTTAAAGCAAGGACCACTAGACTCAAGAACAGCTTCTATCCCACTGCAGTGCGCATCCTCAACAGCTAACTGCAGTTCCTCAGGCTCAATACACATCTGCACTATGCTCTTTTTCACGGTCTACCATGTTTGTTTTTTTTGGGTCTCACTACTACATATTCATTATTCCACAACATATTTTTTTTTCCTGTTGTCTACATTGTGTTGTGTTGTCTGTTGTATGTCCCGAGAGATCAGTGCGATTAAGATTTCTGATGTTCATGTGGCCCTACACTACTCTACTCATTAGCATTAAGCACAGCAATATCAGTAGGCATGAGGTTGCAGGTTTAGTTTTGTGTCGGGGATACTGAGGAGCTGTGGGAAACTCTAGGGGTGCTCGTGTTAATGTGGCTGTCATTCTGAGTGATAAGGCTGAGCCTTCACAGGCAGGGCTTGCTCGCTCTTCTTCCGTCTGCCGGACGGAGCCGGGTCTGACTCACTGATGAAACTGGCTCTGTTTTCTCTTGGCAGGGCATCGAGATTACATCCACAGGTTCCAGCCTGCACTACGTCACGGGCACCGCCGCAGAGGTCAGTCGGCTGCCTTTCAGCTCATGTTCAGCTAATGGTTCTGATTTGCAAGGGAGGGGAGCTCTCTTACGGAGGGATTTATCATTCTGTGTTGCCAGTAATTCAGTGCAATCCTGTTTTTCTGTGTTTGATGGATCATAATTAGGGCTTTCACAGGAGCACAGGTGTGTTTGTGTGGGAGCACAATTGTAGGACTTGTTCTATCATTCACTGTTTTCCTCCTATATGCATCACTTTCTATGTATTGTAATTGCGGAGCCCTGCCTTATTCCATGAATAAGCAAAATGTTGGCGTTTCGCTGTAAGTATGTATTGGTCATTATTTTCCTTGGGAGCCAATCACTCACTCCACAGTGAATGAATCCGATGGGTACACAGTGTGCCCTCAAGGCCAGCGTAGACCAAACTGTGAGGGTTGCTCATTATGATACCTGATTGTTTGTTACGAGATGGCAGGCCTGTCTAAAATATGGCCACTGGAAATTGTGCTCTTTAAATGGTTCAGGCCCTTGTAGACACAGTTAAAAATTGTCTGCGACAGGGGGCATGAAAAAGGCTGTGCGTTTTCCATGATGTCTCCTTCCAAAGTATTTTCCCATTAAAGGAATTTTTCTGAGCTCCCCTCCCCCTTCCACACCGCACACAGGATGACTTATGCTGCAAAGTTGTCCTTCTTGGGAACCGAATGCGTTTCCGAGGTTAAGCAGGCAGTGTGTAAAAAGCTCTAATTTAGCACACGTGAGCAGGCAGGAATATTATAATTCGACGAGGTTGTGATTGAGTGCAGCTTTGAAGCTGCACGAATGGGGTTTTCCTGTATTCTATGAATTTTCAGAGTGGGTAAGCTGTGCATGTTTTTTTTCATATTATACAGTATTTACCTACAGCACTGTTTTCTTTAGTAGTAGGGTCTCCACACTGTGAACACCCCACTAGAAAATAGGGGATTCCATTTTGTCTTTGAAGGCCTCCCCGTTCTCTATAAGTGACTTTTGACCTAGCAATTAGGGTAGGTTCACGAACACACTCAATTCTTCAGCAAACACTCACTGTGGCATCTCCGCCTTCTGCTTGCTTGACAATCAGATCTTCTCTCTTTCATTGATTGAAATGTTCCTTTACAACAGTCAGTTGCTGGTTGAGAGAGAATGGAAGATGGTTTGCTGTATGTAGAACACGGCCTCACGTTCTCATTAAGGAATCTTTGCAAATAATTTGCACTAAAGGGTTGTGGCTCTTCGGTATACTTTTACACAGGGTTTACTGTGGGAAACAATTGAGCTTCAAACATTTACTGTTGTCTCTGGAACTATCAATTATTGGTGTATAGCCACCAAAACATCAGAACTGAAAATGTCACCTCCCCAGTTAGCACTCAAGAGAAAAAAGGAAATAAGAAAAGTTACAAGTAGAAGGAGGACATGTGGCCAGCCTGCCTGTGTTGGTTGTTAGTGCTGTTTAAGTGCGATAAACAGTGCAGTGAGGAGTAATGAAATTTGGCGCTAGCAGAAATAGGACCGAGAGCACCTCACTTCCACACATTGTAACTTGTGGCCATGAGCGTGGTCGATGATCCACACACTGTCCCCTTGCAGGAGTGCTGCCAGTGTCGGGCTCGGACAGACCTAGTGTTCGAGGTCATCTTGAAATCATGACTAAACTCTGGTAGTATTGCAGTTTATAACTGAATGACAATGATGTGTCAAAAAAGATGTCTTTTAGCTGGCATCTGTCATTGGGATTAATAACAAGGAACTGGAATGAATTCCTTGCATTTTATATTGCCTGTTCATTCCAAATACTCCAAAAGTGCTTTACCTATAGGAAGAAACCCACTTTTTTGCACCCCTGGAGTGCAGCCTCGCCTGGGTGACACAGCAGCCTCAGTCTGCACAGCAGAACAAGGGAGGAGAGAGGAATTGCTTCCTCAAATGAATTAAGTTAAGACTACAGGGAGCCAAGACCAGGGTTAACACCTCTACTCTTCGAAATAGGATATTAAATGGCCGAGTGGTCAGTAATTCAATTTAATGTGTCATCCTTAGGATGGCAACTTCACCACAGGGCCAAATGCCCTCTACTGGTCTATTAACATCACATAAATCGGGTTCCTTAGAGACCCCCTATTGTAGCACTGGTCTGGCTCTGCCTTACCTTCTGAAATCCCACCAGATTAGCCCGGGGTGTGGGAAGGCTAAATGAACAAAGAAACATCTGATAAAACAAATCACGTGATTGCATTAATGGGGCACTGCTTCATTAAATTGAACAGGGAATTCAAAGCTCTTTGCACAATGATCTAGTCATAGGTGCTCAACATGTGACAGCAGTACTATATACAGAGGTACCTTAGAATAGCTGGACTTGCTGGCAGTTAATCAATGGTATTAAACTAAACGATTTCTTATTACTGCACTTTTCTTAATGATTTTGCGGCGACTTCAAACTCCAGGTTCGTCTCTGCGTTGAGCTCAACAAAGAAGCGCAGAATGCCAGTGGGTGAGACGGGGGCAAGCTTCAGTGTGCCTCTGCAGCGCCCTCTGGTGTTCATTGTCATTGGACACAGGGCAGCTTTCGCAATGCTGTGGTTTGATGGATGTAACTTCATAAGCGCCCCGTAATTAGTCAAAAGCAGAGTAGCCTAGACATTTTCTGAAGGATCCCAGACAATTTACGTCAATAGCACGGCTGCAAAGTTTGTTCCAAATACATTATACATTCAGCACTCAAGTTTTATTTGACTGAAGCAAAGGGTTGTTTTGAATATGAAAGGCTGTCAAAACAAAAATGCAATTAATAAATAAAAGCCCTCCCTCATGGCTGGGGTTATAGATTTTCATGTGAAAAGCTGTGGGGTTTCCACAGCCAAAGAAGACATATGAGGCAAACGAAAGCTGCAGATGTCAAGAAGAATAAATGTACACTTTCTACAGAGGTAATTAGAACATGACAAACTTACCGTTGCTGATTAATTCCTTCTGTTACTTGTATTTGCATGCAGTCACCCGCAGAAGTCTGCGAGAAGATTCTGGCGGGAGATGAAGTGATTCAAGTCAACAACCAGGTAGTGGTAAGTACTGCTTGTGGGATTATTTTTTATTAATTGCATTTTGGCATCATTATAGTGATTTTTACCTTTAAAGACCCCAAAGTGCTTGAAATCAGTTTGGTTCCTGCTTAAAGTCCAACTCTGGCATGGTGGGGAGAGTATTCAGCGTCTGTAGCTCAGCTAAACAGCTGACTGAGTGTGATAGGTGAGGAGGAGTTTATCGTTTTAGCAGAAAATCAGGTACAATAGATCCACTTGATTTTCTAAAGCAGCCTCTCAGTCCAGCACTGACCAAGCGCAGCTTCTGAGATCTTATCCAGTTCAGGCTATAGAATGGTGTTGAACTGCACTGAGCCGACTGATACCTGGTATTTCACCTGTATTATCAAAAGGCGCATTCTCTCCCTGTCAATCCTCCAATCTCACTGGATTGAATCAGAACCCATTTTCTCCCAAAACATCAGGGAACAGGTTCTGATACTGAAAGTGCATCTCTCTTGTTTTCAGGAGGGAAGGGTTGTGTGAGTGTGGTGATCCAGATGGCTTAGGCACGCGAAAAAGATTTAAATATCTTAATACAGATCTACAGTATATACGCTTGACGCACCTAATGACCATGGTATTAGAAGTATTCCAGTATTCTAATCAATTCATTTGATTTATGGAATGTGAATGACCAAAAATAATTTTGATGATAGGAAAGAGGTTAGGCAGATGAAGCCATCAGGCTAATCTTATCATTTCTTTGTTACTTGAGGAGAGAGAGCCCAGACAGGAAACGGACTCCACTCGAGTCAGTCTGTGGGCTTTCAGGAACCACCACAATTAGGCACAGGGCGAAGACGTTTCCTTTTCTGCCACTGCTGATTCCCTGTTGAGTGCCATTAAATATTTAACTCCACAATTACTGCCCGTATGAGCATGCGTGTTAGAAGTCTAAAATCATCCTTCCTGTATATATCATCTCCCAATACATTACCGGCTTCTGAACGCTAGAGAAAAATCTTCTAGTTTTTTTCAAGTAAGTCTTAAGATACAGTATTATATGGTGCATATATGATGAAAGACAGCTTAGATATGTAGAAGTTTTCGTTTTCCATTTAAATATTATTTGGATCTTTTCCACCCAAAGGATCACTAAACACATTACATATAACAGGGGACCCATTTCCCTGAAGTGGAGCCATTCTGTGCACCACCACATTCTGATCTTTATTGCTCACACCCGTGTAACGCTATTACAGTAGTTAGAACCTATCATGTCACAAGGCACAGAAGTCAAAGCTTTGGGGGGTTTGCTTTCAGAGATCCAGAAGTACAGTAAGCCCATACAGAGCATAACGCATCAATCGAGAGGTCTCGACAACAAAAGCAATGTCTGGAGTTTTCCCTTTAAGACAAGAAGGATCAGGATGTTAATCAGCTGTGTTACTGTAGCAGCTGTATCGGCATGTGAAGTGTCATGCTCTGTTATCTGGAGTTATCTGGATGCTTGCTTACTCAGCAGTGAGTACCAGCTGCTGTGTGTATACCATTGTAGGTGGGCTGGACACGAAGAAACCTAGTGAAGAAACTCCAGGAAAATCCACACGGAGTGACTCTGGTTCTCAAGAAGGTTCCTGTGTCAGTAGCACACCAAGAGAGAGCAGCCAAGCCTCCACCTTCTCCGGTAAGCGCTTTTTGCCTGCGATCTCAACACCTTAGCCCTGACTTAAATCAAAATGTGTTATTTGGTGAGCATTTACAAATCCCGTCATAAACATCAACCAAGGTGCAGTGTGCACAAGTTACAGAGTGTGCAGTTCTTTCTGCATTCATGGCTCTGCCACTGTTTTTGCATTGAAGCACCAAATTAGGCACATTTGCAGTGGCTACATTATGACAAAGATTTTAGAAAACATGTCCAGGACCACACACATGCACAGCTCGTATGCACTCTGATACTAGTTTCTTGTTCATTTCTTTTCCTAGGCAGCGTTGGGTTCCTCAGCTAGTAAACAACAGATTATTAAATGGAGTGTAAAGCTACTATAAAATGACTTGCTCACACATTTTCATGTTATCTGGAAGAGTATTATCTTCTTAAAATAAGACGTTCTGAGCAGTCGGCTTCTTCCTTGGTGCTGTGGGACGGACTAATCATACTGCTTAATATTGTGAGCATGATCAAGATGAAAAATAATTTTTCTATTGTTAGCTTTGTGTCCATTTCTCTTTCTGTTTTATTAAACTGCACGTGAGGCATATTGCTGTAATTGCTAATATTAGACTCCTTTCTCTTCGGGCATCGGTTAAGGATTCTAATTTGTTGGTTTTCATTTGCACAGTGACTAACTCAAACACTAAAATGTGCGCGTCGCTTGGGACACACCAACCCAGCCCCAGCGATGGGGAATGTTTGTGTTCCCAGTAGTCTTCAGATTCAGTCCTCTGCCTTTCTTCTGCCTTCTGCCTGACATGTTGGGGAAGGTTATTTTTTTTATTGGTATATTATCCAAAGGTTGCTATCAGCCGTAAGCCTCTGTCAGTGGTCTACAGTCTCTGAAATTTGCAGAACAGACCAAAAATAAAAACAGACACCTTGGCCCAACAGGAAACGGTTTTTGGCCTTTCTCTTATGTGGGTTCTGTGAGCTCAGCTAGCACTGACGTGGGAGATTTCCTTCCCAGTCTTCATTCTTGTTTTGTGGGGCAAAGACGTTGTAAGAGGGTCGGTTTCTTTTTTTGTTGTTGCTTTCAGAAAGATCCAGAAGTCCGTGACCCATCCTCAGTACTCCAGAGAGTGGCTGCCTCAGTACGGACTCTCTCTTTTAAGTGAGTTGCTGTCTTATTTGTGCGTTCAGAGCTGTTTGAGTGCAGGCTTGTGCACAGCTGAATTGTTATGTGTGAAAGGCAATGACTCTCTTGTGTGAAGTGTTGTGACACATCTTGTATGTTGGAGCATTCTGCTTGATTGTGAAGATAGTTGGTGGTTACTTATCTATTCAGCTAAGTATTGATATTGAAAACTAGGTAGGCAGAATTTGTACATTTTCACTTGTGAAGACCTCTTTGGGACGAAGTTTTTACGTGTCCGTTTTAGAAATAAATGTGTAGGGACATCATCTGAGGTCTGACTGGAGCACCGGAGCAAATGTCAAAATGGAATTGTTCATTTTGGGAGCACTGGCAGACATCCTGCTCCTTCCTGTTAAACATTTACTGTTGAATATCATGATAAAAGCTCAGGAAGGTTTTGAAAAGTGGCGGTGGGATCAAACCAATAAATGGATCTCCTCCTACACCAATACTTACACTGGCAATGTACTTTTTCAACAATGCATGTTTAAAAGCATGCATTGGAATAAATAGTAGTTTTTAAATTTCACATTCTAGTTTTTGGGCATGGTGATTCAGTGGTTAATATCGTTGCCTCGCAGTACTGGGGCCCTGCATTCAAGTCAAGACCTGGGGTGCTATCTGTGTGGAGTTTGTATGTTCTCCCCACGTTTGCATGGGTTTCCTGCAGGTACTCCGGGTTCCTCCTGCAGTCTGGAAGAATGTACTGGTAGGTTAATTGGCTTCTCTAAAATTAGCTTTGGTTGAGTGAGTTTGTGTGTCTGTCTGCCTTGTGATGGACTGGCATGCCATTCAGGGTGTACCCTGCCTTGTGTCTGTTGCTTGCCGGGATAGTCTCCGGCCCCCCTCACCACCCTGAATTGGAAGAAGCAATTAGAAAATGTATGGATTGATTCTTGTATTTTTTTTATATATTTGTGATTCCCTTAATAGGTTCTGTGGTCTGTTAATGTGTCCTGATCCTCTTTTCAGAGCAGCAGTTCAGGAAGAGGAAGTAAAAGAGCAGAAGGCTCTGGAATCAGAACTAGGGGACAGAAACAGTTCCCCCGAGTGCGTGTTCTACAGTTCACACCCCAGCCAGGGGGGGGAGCCCTGGAGCAATGAGGGAGTTGCACCGCTAAACCAAACGGGTGAGAGCAGCACTGCTTTTGCTCAGATAATGACCTTTCTGATCAAGTTCTTTGTTTTGCCTGATACCTGTTGCAATTCCTATATCCTATATTCATGCCACTCAGTTTCAGATTTCTGTATTTTGTGTTAATCCAATAATGGTGTGTATGTACTCACCTCTACAAACGTTATTTAGCATCAGTTTTGATTCACCCACAATTTGAACTATTTTCAAAAGTACATGTACTCATGTACATGAGCAAATTTGTGCAATAAAGAAGCATCATCTGTGCTGAACATAGAGGCCAAAGTACATTGCAAGTTTAAGACTGACAGTATGAGAAACATCTCTACTAAATGGAAGTGCAGACCTTAAACACCTGTGAGTGTTAAACTAAGTAATAAAGACTGAACCGATGTTGTTGGAAGTTGGTTGTAACAGCTTATTCTAATAATATTCCGTCTGCTGTTTGTGGTTGGTGACAGAGCGAGCTGATTGGGATACCCCCAAGTCTGCCTCCGGACCCGGTGACTCCCCGGTGTTACCCGACAGCCCCCAGCTGATGCCCAAGGAAGCCAGCCGCGCCAGCGTCACGTCTCGCAGTTCCTGCCCCGAGATGGCGGGTCAGTCGCAACAGGTGGGCCAGAATCGTTGTCACGCTCGGTCCCAGGCTTGAACCCGGGACCCTTGCAACGCAGAAAATAAAACACTTGGCTTGAGCTGGAGAGGAAAACCCTTGCAGTGGGTTTGGCAATTAATATGTACTGTATATGTGTACGAGGGACTTTGTTAATTCAGTGTTTTTTACATCTCTGGGAGTATTAGTGCAGTAAGTTCTGTAATTTTACCACGCGAGAAAACAGAAATTCCAAAACAAATAATGCACTGTTCTGTTATAGACATTACACCAGGGTTTACACAAATACTGTACACTTGGATTTCAGAGCTCTGGCTGAAGGCTCTGCAAACCTTAATTGAGTAATGGATAGGAACTTGAACTTGAACTTGAACTTTATTGCCATATGTAACTGGTACTGGTACAATGGAATTCTTACTTACAGAAAGTCTCTCGATTGTAAAACAAGTGTAAAAAACAAAACAGAGTGCAAACAGTGCATCAAGACAATATACAAACAAACAGTAGACAATGTGCAAGTAAACATGTAGACAGTTTGAATGTAAACAATACAGACGTGTAAACAATGACTGGAGATGTGCAAAAGATAAGAAATTGGTAGATGGTGATGGTGTAGGTGTGGTCCGAGGGGGATGGCTAAATGTGTTCGCCAATCTCACTGCTTGTGGATAGAAGCTATTGAAGAATCTAGGGGTAAGTGTCCGTATGCTCTTATGTATCTTGCCTGAGGGCAGTGGGGTGAAGAGCTCATGTCCGGGGTGGTGACTGTCCTCTGTGATGGCCAGAATTCTACCACGGCAACGGTCCTCATAGAGCGCTGTTTAATCTCGGTGAGACTGCAGCAGATGATCTTCTGGGCCATATTGACCATTCTCTGCAGTGCCTTTCTTTCTCGCGAAGAGGTGTTGCCATACCACACGGTGATCCTGTTGGTGAGGACGTTCTCGATGGTGCAGCGGTAGAAGTTCACCAACACATGTATTGGCATCCCCCATCGCTTGAGGCACCTCAAGAAATAAAGGCGCTGCTGAGCCTTCTTCATGATAGAGTCAGTGTTCACAGTCCAGGTTAGATCTTTAGAGATGTGAATTCCCAAAAACCTAAAGCTGGTGACTGTTTCCACTTCCGTTCCATCAATACTGAGTGGGCTGTGAGTATGTGGAAATGGATAGATAGTATTTTTTAGAAGAGGCTTGCAGTAATACAGAATATTTTTTTCTGTCGTATGTGACACTGCAATAACACCAATCTAATGCAGATCAAGGGAAATGAATGAGCTTGTTACAGCAGACTGATGCAAGAGCAGGCTGTCTTGGGTTCAGGAAAACTGCACAGCTTGGACTGCCTGAATGTGAGCACTTTGATGTGAGAGCTGTCTCGTTGAATAAATAACTGCATTTCCCACTTCCCTCTCTTCTGAATCAGATAGTTTCCCCTTTTTTTTGTAGAAGTGGAGTGAGTTTTTTTTAAAAGGTACTTAATTACGTATTCATATATGCAAGAGATAAATCATTTTGGGCCCCAAAATCCAGCACTGAGCGTAAAAATGTCTAAGTAGTGTAGGAATGCTAACCCTAACCCTAGCTGGGGTTTCAGCAAAGCAATCCTGCAATCGGTCTCTGAAGCCCTCCAGGCATCAGATTTTAAAATGTTCCCCAAAGCAAAAATTATGAGTCTAAAACAATCAAAATCATTGGAAAAAGCTCCTGGAAATTGGTCTTTTTTTACTCAGCTAAAAAATGCTGTTGAAATTGTTTTTATGTGAGCATGCATTTCAGGCCAGTGTAGGGCTAGGGTTGCAAGAACCATTAAATGTTGACTGCAGTAATACTTCTAGTTGCTCTTTAAATGACTAAATTAAGAGAGCGGATCCAATATAATTTTTTTTCTTACATCTTTTGATTTGACTCATTTTTGGAATACAATTACTGAATGGTGCAGTATACAATATACTGTAATCAGCCACAACTCTCCCAAAAAATCAAATTGAAGATAACAGCAAATTATCACTCATCTTAAAGTTCACTTGGTCCCAAAAATCCAGCACTGAGCGTAAAAATGTCTGAGCAGTGTGGGAGTGCTAACCCTAACCCTAGCTGGGGTTCAGCTGAGCAGTTCTGCATTCTGTCTCTGAAGCCCTCGAATCATCGGATTTGAAACCAGCAGTGCTCTCTCACTGAACCTTTGTAATGTATGGTTGCATCGACTGCCGGGTTGAGCAGAGTTCCCAGTGTGGATTTACAGGAATATTCATAAGCAAATATTTTCTTCTTTTGCAGGATGAGAAAAGGCCAAAAACGAAAGGTAAGATACTGGGTCATGTCCTCCTTTTTTTGTACGCTCTTTTTTCTTGTGGAAAGCTACTAACATCCTCCAAAGCTTAAGGGTTATTTCTTTGAAAGGTGCTGTGTTTGATCAGGCTTTTCAGTGGTAGTAAAGATTCGCACGTACTATGCCAAACTGGCATCAAGATAACTGTTCTGTTTGCTTATTTCCTGGTGTGCTTTCCCACAATTCATTGTGCAGCCTCAAAGAATATTCCAGTTTGGCACATGACCTCCCTTCCCCAAATATCCTCTCTTGACGGGAGGGCTCAGTTCCTGTTGAAGGGGGAACTGCAGTCCCAATTTCTCAGACCAGTTATTAAATCTCTGTAACAAAATAATTTCATTGACGTTATAGAACAAAATGACACATTTTGAATTAAGCACAAAATCGTGAACTTTGTGAAAGTCCTGTAAGTCACCATGTTGATGCAACTCAAGTTCCCATGAATTGCCCTGTGACGGGCCCTCTCTGTAATGAACGATGTGATGGAATATACAAGCGAATAAATACAGGTTGTGCAGCAGACATTTTACTGCAGAAGTGTTTCAAATTTGATCTTCATGCAGAGTTAACAAGCGAGTAGTATTTGGTGGAGAGAATCAAAACCGCCTCAAAATCAAAAGCAATATTTCTATTGGATTATAGGAGGTGTATTCACAAGCTGCTTGTTTACGATGTCATAGGGCCACACATGTCACCAGACATTTTCTTGCCTCATTCTGAATCGCATATGTAATCTATTTTGAGATTGGGGGGTTTTACGAGTTAGTGTACATTTTACTGTTACTGCAGTTTGACAGGCACTCATCAATGCTGATTCTTTCTAACTCCAGAATATGAAAATAGCATTGCAGTTGCAGGGGTGGAAGTGACACTGTTTTTGGACATGTTGGACTGCATGGTGCTGCAGAGGGAGGTTCAGTGGTGAAGCACTGCACTGAGCAAGATGTCCATTAAGATAGTTCTGTTGTAGGTCTCTCCCTGGTGATTTAGTCAGTGAAGACACTCTCAGAGTGCAGGCTGAGCTCCCTACACCCAGACCCACCCATGAGGGAATCTACAGTACATTCCCAACTGGGAGAGTCAGTTGAGGTGTCCCCGGGAGGTTTGTGTAGGGAGAAGTGCCTGAAAAGAATCGGGCATAGTAACTCAGTGCAAATGAGATTGAGAGGCCTGAACACATTGTTGACAAAACTGATGACCGTGATAAAGCAAGAGGGAGGAAGTGAGCGGTTCTTTGAGAAGAGGAGACTGGTGGTGAAAGAGACAGAGAGAAGTGAATTAAAGAAGTTTTGTTAAATCATTATCATTTTTAAGAGGTTTGGAATTAGTTCCACCGCCTGTACAGGTAGAGCAAAAGTTTATTTAAAAGCAAAGTTAGGACTCCCAACATTGTGGTTTAAAGAAAAGATTTACTGAGAAAACAAGCTCTGTAATGGAACTTGGAAAAAAATGAGCACTTTATTGAGCGGCCATCTGTCATCCGGGTCGTATTATATAATTCCTCAGTGGATAGTGCACAGCTGGCTCCCCCAACATAAGGTGGGACAACCTGTTTGTTTGTCGAGTATCAAAACTCCCCTAGCCTGGCTCTGGGAGTTTGCATTGACGTCGATCAGAGAGGAGTTGTTCCTCCAGATGACACTTACTGTACACCTGCGTAGGGCACTGAGGAGCTCAGCGATGAGGGGCCCAATAGTGGAGGTGTCAGAGCACAGCAGCCACATTTCCTGTTCCCCCTACAGGTATCTGGGTAGTGAAACAGTTGAGCCGTAGGGGCAGGTGTAAAAAGTATTAAAAATAAAACTCAGATCCAAGTCCTAGTCAGTATTTTGGGGTCATGTTTGGTCACCTGCCAAAATATTAGGATCCCCCTCAAATGAAATGTTGGGCCTCTGTGAGAAACAAGAACGGTTTGAACATGAAATCGACTGGGCAGGGGAATATTTCATGTTCATTTCAGCAGAATAGCCTTTATTTGTGTTTTCAACTATTTTGGCCAGGCCAGGGAGCGTGCGTATTCTATGCAAAAGGCTCTTGTTGCATAAGGCCCTGACAGATAGGGTGAGCAAACCGCTTGCACAAGCAGAGAGAAAAGCCAGTGGTGTAATTCTTTTGTAAGGCCCGCTCATGTTTTCAGAAACAAAAAGGAGCAGAAAGAGAAACAGTCCCTCAGCAGCGCGAGGTTCATGGACTCCAAGCGCTATTGGGGAAAAGGGGCTCCTTCAGGTTGAGTCCTGAGAAATGGGATCCCAATTTTAGAGAAGAACGTAAGGGATCGTCAAGACGACACCCACACTTTCTGCGGCTGAGGGCGAGAGAAACCCGTCGAGTGGACGTTGGAAGAGCCCCGCGGGGGTGATGGGAGGGGGGGGTTCGTGGCCCATGTGACTCACGGCACGCCTCCTCACCGGCAGGCACGCTCACCGCCATGAGCCGCCGGCGGGTCTCGTGCCGGGAGCTGGGGCGGGCGGACTGCGACGGCTGGCTGTGGAAGAAGAAGAAGGACAGCGGCGTCTTCGTGGCGCAGAAGTGGCAGCGCTTCTGGTTCGTGCTGAAGGGGGCCTCCTTGTACTGGTACGCCAGCCAGCAGGTGAGTCCGGGCTCCCCTGGTGTTCCAGTTCAGGTTTTACGAGCTGCCGGGCGCTGTACAACCCAGCCCCCCCGGTGCAGAATGTGAATTTTAAATGTGAGAATCGGGCCTTTTTTTCCCCTCGCCAGTTGGCGCCAGGGCCAACAGGTTGTAAAATCTGAATGGGATCCGCCTGTTCGTGCAGTGGGGGGTGGATATGTTTCCCGAAAAGAGTCTCGCCAGCTGGATTTGTGTCCGACCAGGATGCAATCTCCTGTCTCTCAGGCATCAGGCATGTCCCAGAGCCAAAAATCTGGATGTGCGACCTATCGGATCTGCCACACCTTTCAGGCTCTGCAAAGTTATGTCACCTTAGCAGGCTCCGACTGGAGGAAGCTTCACTGAACATTACAGTAGTTAAAACAGTCGACTGCTAGGAGTTGTACTTTTTAATTAAAGGGAATATTTTAAGTGTCTATTTCAGACTGGGAAATCGGATCTAATCAAACTTTAAACTGCCTATAAATTATAAATTGCAGAAGCAGGCCCATATTTGAGAGTGGATCTTGTTTGCCTTTTTTTCTAGCCAGTATAAAGCAGTCAAGTTCTGAGGCTGTAACTAGCGTGTGAGTTGGATTTAAAATGGGCCTGACTTCGGCACCTGCCACATAAACACACCAGGAGGACCTTGATTAAAAGGGGAGTCTGAGCTGAAATTATTAAAAAAAAATTAAATTCATTTCTTGACTAAAAGCATCTAACATCTTTTTTAAATTCTGTTTGATGCTCTTGATGGCCTTGAGCCTCATTTTCATTGTATTTCTTTATACTCTCAATAAAACAGATTTAGAGCCCGTAACATTACTGGTAACAATTATGTGAAAAAGCACAAAATCGCTTGGTTAGAATGCTGCTAGTGTTTTTTTTTTTTGATGAATCAAAGCATTTTCAGATGTATTTCACAAAGAAAGAAAACCAATTCTTAGAAATGCACCTGACAGTAACAGTGAAGTCAGTAACATGTTTTTCCTTATATACTGTACTAAATGGTAACATAGTTGTGCATTGCATTTATTTCTTAAATACTTGGTCCTTGTCTTTTGAAATGCCGATAAAAATGCCTTCGGGATTCTAAATAACTCATTTGTCTGTGAAGTGTCTGCTAGTGCTCAGGCAGCAACCATGTCTGATCTGCATGAAGCTGTGTGTACTGTGAGCCACAACAAGCTCTGTTTGAAAGAGACATTCACCTGCTGGGCGAAGACAAACACAGTGACTTCAAGGCTAATACCTGGCAAAGACTGAGGCCTGAGAATATGATGTATGGAATCAGCCAGTATTCAACATACATTTTTGCTTTATAGTAAAAAAAAGGGAAATTAATCACAGCTGAGTGATTTTAATTTGCATTAGTGGAAACAAAGTGCTTGTCTTGGCAGCAGCTCAATTAATGTCTGGGCAAAACCAAGCTTGGCATATTTGAGGAAAACAAAACAAGCATGAATTAAAGCAGAAGGCGGAGATTAAATTTCTGAAATTGAAAGTTGTGGCTTTCACCAGACAAAGGATGGAGAGCTCTAGCATCCATAAGCACATACTCTACCAAATGTAGGACAAGTCACAGGTACCAGTAGGACCTAAAATAGCTGTGGCTATGTTAGACAGCACTGAGGCAAATTTTATCCCAGGTACATTGATGACAATGACTAACTGTACCGCTTTTTCTATGCTGTTCCTTCTCTGTCTGTGGCAGATATCAGCCTGTTATTTTGTAAGATATGGTGAAATGACCACATGCTCTTTCGCATTCAGAGTTAACCTCTGGTATGTGGAAAAGCTGAGCCTTGGGCACAGTTGTACCTAGTTGGCAATGTTGCTGATGCATGGCACAAACTATTATTCATTCTCTTGATCTCCGCATTGAGCAAAGATGTTGAGAAAGAGCTGATTGGCTTTGTTTTTTAGTATGTACTACAGGGTGTCACAGCACAGACATCACCGTGTGAATTTGTTTTGTTTCTTTCCTTCTATTTTAGGAAGAGAAAGCTGAGGGCCTGATTCATATATCAGCTTACAGCATTGAGAGTGCTGGGGAACACAAGAGGAAATAGTAAGTCTGCAATCTGCGTCAGTGTTAATTTGCTCGGCAGAAAGTCAGGAGGCGAACCCGACTGACTTGACAACCAGCCACTTGTCCTGTTAAGCCACATCAAAGTGGGAACACTTTGCAGAATATCTGCACAAGAAGAACAGGGAAAATGAGCTTGGTGACTGTCCTTTTGTCTTTGTGGTTTTCTTGTGTATAAAAAAAAAAACTTTGTAGTCATTTAACCCTTTTTTGGGAGTTTTCGCATTTTTGCTCTTGAGATCATAACAATTGCAAATAAGAAGTTGCAAGTAAGAGGAGGCCATTTGGCTAATAGCTAATTACCCAGATCTCATTCAGCCAGAGTTCTTCTTGAAAGAAGCCAAGCTGTTGGCTTCATGTGCACATGTGGGCAGCCTGTTCTTAAGTGTAAATGCACCTCTTGCAGTCTGCTGCTGTCTCAGAATCCTCTTTCTCTCCCCTTTCCCATCACATCCCTGCAGAGAGAGGCGAGATCGTCCTGCCTTTCTCTGCAGTGTCATTTGCAGAGGCTGAAACCTTTAGCAGCCAGACAAACTTTCTACCCAGTATCCACTGATCGTCCAGCAGAGAGCTGGGGAGACAAGAAATAAAGGGTGATGGGTAGAAAAAAACAAATGAAAAGTGTTTTCCATTGCAGGACTGGCCTGTACTCATTTGAAAAAATACAGTAGAAACAGTGTCCTAATTTTATAAAGAAAGCATTTTAACTGTCCGTGTTAGGGACTTTTAAGTTGTCCTCTATTCATATTGACTTGGGAGCCTAGAATTTCATATTTTATGATCATGAGAAAAATGGGCAAGCTCATCTTGAGAGGAAGCTGTCTGAAAGGTTGTTGTAACTCTTGCATTTTGTTATGCTTTCTGTAAAACTTGAGCTGCTCTTCCTGCTTGCTTTATTGTCATTTGATTATGTATTATTCACTATTGTATGATTGTAATTTATTGTGTAGTGCCTGCATCACTGGATCCCTTTATACTTAACACATAATGTCAATAACAATAAAACGAGATTCTCTTTCCACAGCTAAAAACACATTTATAAGATTGAAACAGATGTGAAACTCCTTGTTGAATTGCGGTTCAGGTACGGAGGCTGGGGGTGTTTGCAGTGTTAATAAGCCAGGTTCCTCTCTTCAGTGTGACGCCTCTTGAGACTTCCCTCTGTGCCAACACTGAATCCGGAGTGTACAAGGTCTAACAGCGCTGTTTATTTTCCTTTCTCTCCTCCTCTCAAGCGTGTTCAAAGTGTGCCATGAGCGCTTCCAGACTTTTTTCTTCGCCGCGGACAATGTTTCAGACATGAGCAAGTAAGTGAAGCGCATTTTTCTTTTCCTTCCTGCTGTCCTGTTGAAATGTGCTGAGGGTCGGTGGACAGGGTGGTGGGGTCGAACTGTTCTCTGCCTGTTTGCTCGGACTCCGCGTCCTGGGTTATGGCTGGATCTGTGGTGCACAGTGAACTGTAACAGAGAGCTGACCAGCCGAAAAAGGGACCTTTTCTACTCTTCCAGTTCGGAATAGACAAGTTACTGATCAGTTTGGCTCCTAGATGCAGCACCTGTTCTGGCGCAGTGTTGTAGCTGGGCATATTCCTGACTGAGTCTGTGTAGAAGTTCTCATGTTACAAGAAGTAAATCTGTTATGGTGATGTCACTCATTGGGTTTCTCAAAAGGCATTGAAGTATCCTGTGCTTTTAGGACTGCACAGGGGGTTCCAATCACGGCCCTGTTGATCCCTAGGATTTTGTTACCCTTGAGCACTCGTTTAAATTTTTTAGCATGATCTCAGGCCAGCAGGGCTTCCCGAGTGAGCACCCCTCACTCTACCTGGCACCCCAGAACTGCCGTTAGTGCACCAGAAAGCAGCTCGCACAGATACAGAGTGGAAGGACATAATCTCTGCTTTCCCATCCAACAAAAGATGTGTGCTAATTATCTGACTGAGAGGGCAAATATATTTTGGGACTTGGCTCGACATGATGTGTAATTAATATTTTAAAAACACTCCTTTTTTATTTGCCACGGGGGAGCCTTCGAAAGAACCAAGTATTGCCAGCGCCTTTTACCACAAATATTTAAGCCGACTCTGGATGCGGTTTTGTCAGGCCCGTTCAAGGTAAAACTAAACAAATGCAGTTGTACATCAAGGCATACTGGTAAAACAGGAACAAATGGATAAAAGACAGCTAAAAAAGCAGAAGAGCAATTCATGGAAAAGTGACGTCTCTTCTCCAGCCCCTATCCAGAAACTCATAAAAGGATATAGAAGTGAATATAATCTGTGAATAGCTTGGGGAGTCATTTTTATGGGTTTTTTAGCTGATCTTTTCTTGCTGGTGTGGATCTAAAAACAAGCTCTGTTATCTTCACGAAGCATGGGTGCACTTATCTGTCAGCAGGCTGGGCAGAGCACACAGCACAGACTGCAAGAGACAAAACAGGTTTTTCAGCTTCTAAAGTCGACCAGTGCCCCCTGCTGTCAGCTCATTTTACTGTGAAAACCTTGCTACATTTTTTATTCCTTTATTTGTCCAAGTAAATGAACTGGTATATTCAGAAGGAAACCTGGAGATCCATTCATACAGCAGGGCATTTATTGGAGCATTTTGAGTGATATTTTTATTTAAGATTACAAAAGCTGTATCCCGCCTGGGTTTTGAATCCATTACCCTTTGATCAGGAGTTCAGATCCCTAATAATGCATTACTGTACTTTCAGTGGCACAGTATTTTAAACGTGATTATAGGAGGTTTTACGCTAACATGCCGCTAAACCAGTTGGTTGTTAGTCAGAGCCTTTTAAACACTATTGTTAATTTAGGAGGGATTTAAATTGGAATTAAAATTAATTAAAAAAAATGTTTTTTTGCCTTCCTAATGTGGAATCTCACCACTGCCAGGTCACTGCTGTCTCCTTTATCTGGGAGGTGTGAGTCTACCCACTTTGCTTTCAGAAACACTCGCCATTCACCCCCACTTGCCAAGGCTCTGCAGTGCCTCACTGGCACCAGTGGGAGAAGAGACCACTCTCACTGGCTACACTAGAGGCTCACGAATCAGACCTCTGCAGGCCTCAGAGCTTCAGACCACTGCGCAGGGTTTTAACAAGCCAGGAGATATTGCCACCATTAACTCCCTAAAGCGTCTTTTTGCTGTTGATGATGAAGTCACCCTGGTTTTTCTCCTCCAGGTGGATCAACTATTTAATTACTGCGATACAAAAACACAAAAAAGACCACAACAACCCTCCAAACAGCGAAGAAGGTAGGCCGGAGTGTGATCTAGTCTTATCTGCTTTTAAAATTCTCAGAAATACAACTTTTCTTCTCTGCATGCTGATACATTGAAGTAATGCAAGTGGAATTTTCCTGCCCAGATATCCTTTTATCGTTTTAGCCGTGTACAATCCTACATGATAATGTGATATAATCTCCTACATCATTAGAGGGTGCCCTGACAGCATGTTGGTCCACCTGCTGTAGACAGATGTTCCCAGATGTCTGTGGAGATAGGGACAGCCCCAGTGGCATTTATTTTATCTGCCAAAGTAGAAGTCAAAAAGCTAAGTTTGTTTCACCCCGGCTTTTAAGGAGTCCTCTCATATTCTGTGTGTTTGGTGAGTGGGTCATGGTGCTTTCCTTCTGTTGTCATAGGTCTTTAGCCTGGTACTAGCAGTTTGTGGGTGTGTGCAGTACCTGCCAGCTTAGGAGCTTATATTTAAGCATTCTGATAGGGGCAAAACTGCACACAAAAGAGTGGCTTAATGTGCCACATTGAGAACAGTCTCGAAAACAACATTACAAGGAATTTATATTGCTATTAAAAGGTTTGGGATTTAAGAAAAGATGGTTACTGGAAAGAATAGTGCCAGTTGTGGGAGAGTGCTGTGTAGAGCTCTCCTCAGAAACAACACATGAGGTCTGTCTCAACACCCCTTTCTCTGCAATGGTTGCGCCTGAATTGATGACTCTCACCTGGGCTGATTAACAAGTCAGCAACACGCTTTGCTTTAATTACACCAGTTATTAAACATGTTGCATTTCAGGTAATTAAAGCACAGCAGTAGAAGAGTTTCAGCTGCAGCTGGACCCAGTCCTGACAGCAGATGAAACAAGCTAAAGTATCTTGTGCTGGCCTGCTAAATTGTCACTGGGGATATGTTGTTAAATACATTTTAGACTAACAATATGCTGCTGCTGTTGAGAAGAATGCCGCAGGGCAGACCTCTGGCACTGGGGGCTTGTGGTGGCATGGGTATTGTGAAGGACTTGGTGTGAAGGTATCTGGGTTCAACCAACAGATATGCACATGAGTTTGGTGGGTTCATATGAGAACCTTCGAACAGTTGCAAATGAGAGGAGGCCATTCTAGCCTGGCTGGTAGATAGTAACTAATTGATCTGAGGATCTCATCCAGCTGTTTCTTGAAAGAAACCAGGGTCTCTGCTTCAACTGCCTGTCTTGTTCCAGACTCCCACAGCCCTTTGGGTAAAGAAGTACCTCCTGTTCTCATTTTTAAGGACACTTATACTGTATGCAGTTTTCTCTTGTGCCCTCTGGTTTGTGTTTCACTGTTTATATGGATGAAATCCTGTTGTTGTCTTCATCAGTCCCCGTTATTATCCACAAAATGGAAGATTATTTTCTCTGTCTTTGAGGTAGGAAAAGGGAAGTGCAAGGAAATTCTGTCATTTTGTATTAACTTTTATTATTAACGGAAGCTGCAACAGTAGGTGGGCCAGTGTTTGTGTGATTGCTAGAACTGAGCAAGTAATGGCTTCTTACCCAGCATGTTTGTCCACCAAAAAGCCTTGTGCCTACATGACTTTGTGGCAGCTGGTGATTTTAATGTAGAGCTCGGAGATCGTTCTGCCCCTTGTTAGTGCTGCCCTAATGGTTTCCCCAGGAGGAGGTCGCCATGGCAACCTGATATAGTCCTCCTCTGACTTCCAGAAGGCTGATGGCTACTTGTGGGAGAGATGGGCAACACTAGTCTGAACACTTGTGTCTGATATTAAATTTCAAAGCACGGAAGGGAAACAGGTGTTTTCAACCCTTCCTGTGTTCCTGACAATAATCTTTATAAATTCAGCAGGCTGCTCAGACTAGTGTATAATGTATAACCTTAAGTATAGGTTCTTTGTTTAAATGAACCGGAAAAACTTTGTACTGTTGTTCTAAAACAAATAAATAAGTGATCAAATATTTAAATTATTACTATTGAAGCTATGTTGATCTACAAGTGAGTCTCCCGATTTAAAATGAAACCAGTAAGTTTGGTCAATGCTCATAACCTGCCAACACTTTAGGCTACCTTCAAAAATAAATATTGCTGCAGGCTCCTTTGGATTCCAGTCCAGTCAAGCAGATACATGTTTCATTGAAGGCAATTTCAATGGCTTAATAGCTCCTGATTGAGTGCCTGAATGACTGTAGGCCTGGGGCTGTAGGTCTGCAGACCCCTGCTGCTCACTTTGGGTTTGGGTTGGGGTGTCAGTGCTGACTCCTGTCCTGCATTCTTCTACAGACTGTTACAGTGAGACGGAGCCTGAAGACGAAGGACCAAGGTCCCCAGGAGCCTCCAGGCGGAAAGCAGGGACAGTGAGTATGATGCACACAAGACCAGCAGATACTGCCCCCTGCTGCCATACAGACCTGCACACCAGACCAGGAGATACTGCCCCCTGCTGGCATACAGACCTGCACCTTATGTGGCGCACCAAACTATCTGACTACCTGTAAGGCCAGTCAGGTCTTCCTGAAGCTCTCTTCCTCATAATTTGTAATCTTAAAGTAGAAGATTAATTAATCTTAAACTGGCAAAGTTAAGTTACTGTTAACATAAACTGGCCTACCAAAATGTTAGATGATGATGTGTTCCATAGGAGTGTCCTGTCCTGTCCTCTCTGAAGAAGTGGAAATACTCAGTCTTTGGTATGTCCCTTGATTTCTGAGGATTGTAAAGTAATAGCACACCAGGCATTTTTACCTTTACTGTGAAACGAAGACTGATGACAGTGATTGGTGGTACATGCTCTTCTGCAACAGCAGACCTAGCAAATACATCAATTTAGACCCCTTTGAGGAATTGCAGGCGGTGGTTGACAAAAGAAAACTCCAACAGGAAGTGCTATTCAGGTTACAACAAACTAGTAGAGGGAGAGATGGCAATTGTCACATTCTATGAGGAAACCAGGGAGCTGTCCACTACCTCCATGCACATCTGTGAACGCCTAGTGAAATCAGTGCCACCCAGTTTTCCAGGCGTAATCTCCAGTGGAGGTGGACTGACTCCCTGCTGGGAGTATACTCCAATATTGTGGTATGCCTGGAGGTGGAAATGTCCAGAATGACCTGTCTTTAGTGGGAGTGAAAATGTCAACCCAACTGCCTTCTTGGAGAAGTCGAGAGAAGGCACTCTCGTTTTTGTTTATTTCATCCATGTGGTATTTCTCCCGCTCATTTTATTTCTTTTTTGTCTTCAGAAAAAGCCCTCTGACCGAGCTGTGAACACTTTACCAAGGATGAAAGTCAAAGACAAACAGCCCAAAAAACCAATCCTGACCCAAGGAGTGATGACTACTGCCTCAGACAAAAGCCAGACAGGTAGCCTGCTCCCAGCTTTCTCCTGGAAATGCTGAACTGGTTTATAGGAAAACATTTAAGTATGTCGCACTCTTGTGTTGTGAAAAATGACTGAAACATCCAGAGAGTCTTTAATTTCACAGTAGATGAGATTGTTTTAGTAACCTTTTATCTCACTGATTTTCTGAAACCTCAAAATGTGATATTCAAATATTGCTTCTAGATTTTGAGTACATTGACTCTTAACTACTTCAGCTATAATAACTGGGATATCAGGAAACCAGGATTTTGTTCATTTCTTATCTAACTTCATTTTTCTAGCACCTGCCCCTGAAGATGAGATGGGCATTCTTTTTCATCGTCTCAAGGAAGGGGGCGTGTCTCTGATCGGCAATGAGCAGCTGCTGACCAGAGACCACTTCCGGAAGTCCTTTATCAAGAGGTGCAAGAATCCAGTCATCAATGAGAAAATACACACCCTGCGAATGCTGCAGAGTACCCTTAAAGTAAGGAAGGTGCATCATTCCACACCCTCATTTCCAACATCCACCCATCCATTTTCTAACGACTTCATTCAATTGAGGGTCACGGGGATGCTGGAGCCTATCCCATCAGGCAACAGGAGCAAGGCAGGGTACACAACTACTAAGTTGTGTATTGCACTTCAAAAATCTGTTGTACATAAACATTTTTAATAGTGTATTTTTACAGTTTACCTGATGCTTGGTTTAACCGTGGTAGTAGACACAGATGTTCGGAGTTGTAAATACCAACAGCATAAGTATTTCAAGGGCAGACTGGATACAAACATAATGTAGTGACAAGATACAAGGAACGGGATTTAGAGCAAATGCAGAGAGTACAGTCTGGGCAGGTGGGTCGTGAGTTGACACTGTAAACTGAAGGACTGGGGGAACAGGGTTTTTAACCACTCCTGTGTTCCTTAATACAATCTAACCAGTTTGAGCATCCTCCTGGATTTCGACCTTCAGAAAAGGGTCTTTGTGTAAATTAAGCAGACAAACGTCTGTGCTACAGTTCCAAACAAATAAATAAGCAATCAAAAATTTAAGGGAGTGTCCTGACTTACAATACAACCAGTATGTTTTGTCAATGCTGATACTTTGCTAGCACGTGAGGCCAGCTTCAGAAATAAATATAAAGGGCAGATATAACTATTTTGTTTAAGACTTCTGCAAAATCTTCCTTGCTATCCAGTACACACAAATGTGTACAAGGATATTTGGCTCTCTTTAATCACATTCTGTTCTTAGCATTTGTATTTTGTGTTTTAAGGCTCCAGGAATTATTAATGTGGCAGAATGTACTTCATGCTGGAAGGCGATTAGAGATGATCTAGAGCTTTAGCAGTCTTTCTGCCTCCTGGGTAAAGCCGGCCCCACTGCCAGTGACAGTCCAAGGCCCGGCACTCCGCCAGCGTGATGGTAACTGTTTGGTTTCAGGCGAAGGAATCAGAGCTGGTGATCATCAACAAGATCCTGGATGACCCCCGGCTGACATCGGAGAAATTCCGGGAGTGGAAGCAGAGGAACGGGGAGCTGTGCCAGGAGATCGCCAAGCTGGCCAAGGCCAAGCGGGCTGTGAAAGGAGCCACGCCGGGCGAGGTCAAGGGCGCGGGCGAGGACGAGAGCGGCCAGGAGTCGGGCCTGGACAGACACTGCCCCAGCAGCAACCAGAGGGACGCCTTGCTGGACGCGAGTTTCAGAGTGAGGCTGACCCAGGGGGAGCAGCTGGTGGACTCGGAGCCCGCGGGCCTGGACGTCGAGTCCTGCCCGATGGAGACGGACCCTGCAGACACATTGCCCAGCGGGACAGCAAACGTGTCCTCAGACAATTACTTCTTCATCTGAGGACTCCTCCTTCTTCGTGAAAGTCCTTCACAAAGCCAGAAGCCCGGGCTAGCTGACTGGTCTGGATACATACAGTAACTTGCTGAACGCCCATCATGCCCTGGCCATTTTGCCCGGCAGTATTTTCTTAGCCAGTGTTTTTAATTTGATGATAGAAGAAACCAATAAGAGGAGGTTTTTGGTTATCCTCACAAAGCCTTAGCATTTTTTTTTCATTCTTTCATCTCTAGTTTTTAGCAGGAAAAAAGACAAATGTTTTTTTTTTTAATGGAGGACAATCCTATTTTTTTAAATGTGTTGATATTAGGGAATTATTATTGGTTAAGGTTCTTTCAGCTTTTACGTGTGTATAATGTGTATAATTTTGCCTTCAGTTTTGTGCTAAAAAATCTTTTAAGAATACCTGTATGTATATATTGGTTTTATATACAAATTATTGAAGCAAATGTGTCTAAAAGTATTACCTCTAATATTTCATGCCACACTAATGGATAAAATCTTGAGAAAAGGGACATGTGTTCACACATTTAACCTCACCGCCTGAGGAAAGCAACGGGGAATATTGCAGAGGCAACAATGGGGAACGTGATCATAAATCATTTACCTCCACGCTACATTAGCAACTTTTTATTTCAAATTGAAAGTTAAACATAATACAGTTGTTAAATCTAATGATGTAAAAACCTTGAGGCTCTTTTTCAATTTCAAAGCGCAATAAAAACAAATATCATATTCACGTTCCAGGATAGTTCATCCATTTTTAATGGGAAACGTTAGGAGTTGATTTTTATTTTTCTGTGCTAATGTTAGCGTGGTGGAAAATGGTTTGTGAGCACGTTTACTGTTGGATCCTGTGGGTACAGGTAGATTAGAGATTAGAGACTGTTTAGCAAATACAGCTGGGTGAATTGGCCTTCTGTATTGTGGCTTCATCAGCTGGTTACCACAAACCCTGGAATACCTCAATTTAAGTGAGGCAAGAATTTCATGGACTTTTTAATCAGGGTCTCTGAAAGTACATCAACATCTTGTAATCGTACATGTGCTACAACCCTGAATGGCTCAACCAGTAAAAGCACCTGCTCAGAATTTACACTGTGGCCTGAGGTCTGGATGTTTTTTTTGGCCAGGCAACAGTGACTCCTTGGGACCTGCGAGGGATGTGAGTGCATGCAATGCTGCAAATTCTGCATGTGAGCATGTAACAGCTTGACCCTTAGCATTGTATGTCTGCACAGCCCTTGGTTCACCAGTAAGCACCATGTTGGAGATTTGTGTGCACAACCTTGGTTCACCAGTGCTGGTGCAGTACTGGGACAGTAGGCTCCAGTACTGTTACTGCTCATCATAACAGGGAATTGAGCTCTTGAACAATAGGTGATCTAGAGATTGGAACAGTGAAATCTAGATGGACAATTGAAACCCCAAAAACATTTTAGAACATCTGTCTTTCACAAATCAATGGGTTCACTGACAAAATACACTTAATAAAGCCGTTGTTTTAGTTACAGAGTGCCAGTTCTTACTGTATGTCTGCAATAACATTCCATTAAATGATCCATTGATATGTCCAATGGTAAAGGGTGTATTATTTGGAAAAAACAGGCCTGTACCATATAATTGGTCTAAATTAGACTTACTGCCACAGTTGGATGATTATCTGTCTTAAAGGGGAGGCCTGTTTGGAGGTTGTGGCCAACTAATAATTGTTAATCCATTCATTTATTTTCTAACCACTTCTTCCATTTTGAGGTCATGGGAGAGCTAGAGCCTATCCTGGCAAGCAGTGGGCACAAGGCAGGGCACACCCTGGACAGGACACCAGTCCATCACAAGACACACACAGACACGCACACTCTCACACCATGGCCAGTTTTCCCAGAAGCCAATTAACCTACCACTATTTCTAGTCTTATCTTTGGACTGTGAGTTTCTATTTTACATTAAACTAAATTTTGTTCCCGATGACTCAATGTTTAGAAAATTGATGAAAACTGTACAGCCATCAGGTGCTGAGTCTTGAAAATCTGCAAAGAACAGATTAAAGTTGATCTAATTTGTATTAGTTATTTATGTTTTTTTATGTTTTTAGCTATAAGTTAATATTAATTTACATCAAATTAGTAATGCTCTATTTTTGATTTCCTTGGGTGGCACCTAATTTACTCTCACTATTTATGAAAAGGAAGGGTGCATTTTTTTCTAAAATTATACAGAAAAAATATTATGATAGATGCCTTTTTCCAAAGTAAATTACAACATTATGAGTACTTCAAAAAGAAGATTAACACAAAACAAGCTATGGATATATTACAATTAGCAGCAGATAATTAAGAACCTGAAAGAAGAAAGTTATGATCGTAGATTAATTAATGCTCTCTCAATCGTATTTTAACATTTTCGTTACTAAAAGTTTTTTTAAATTTATATCTAGCCTGTGGTGATAACACGTATTGATAATTTGTTCTATACCCAGGTAAAACCTTTCCTATGTCAATGTGAGACAATAACATAGGTAGGGAGTTAACTGAAGAACATTTGTTTTCTGCAAATTAGTTTTCTGCGCTGCGCTCAGTTCAGTTTTAATGGGTGGTGACCCACTTTGGCTGACCTTCCCGCTGACGTAATCGCTGGGTCATTGTGACGTCACAACATACGAAAGTTTTAAAGGTTTGCTTGCAGACGTCACAGAGACATGCTGCTAAACCACACTAGAATAAGTAAGACTAGTTTAGTTCGTCGAAATCACTAGTAACGAAGAATGCAGTAGTAGAAACATGAAGAATGGAATCGAGGACATTTTCTAAAGTGCACACAAGAGTGAGTTAGTTTATTTTCTCTGATGAAAAAGCGGTTATTTAGCTGCTACTTTTATCATATCACCGGTATTGGTGATTTTTTCAAATATTATATTAATGGACGGACAGCTTTTGAATATTCAAAGGTGATCGATTAGTCTTTGTCAGGGTTTCTGTATGGGTATGCACTTTCCAAAGATGCTTTCTTCGAACGCTGTAACAGCTATGTTTATAAAGTAAGTGGGATTAGGTCGGATTCGTAGTTTCAGTCCGAATCTCTTATTATTTAAAATAGTATGTATAATAGATTACGCGATTGTAATTTGTATATATGACGTTTAAAAATAATCAACTCGTAAACGTACAGTGTACAATATATTAACCAGTTTAGAGCACTTTATTTCCACCACTTTTTTTAAAAAATTCTGGCTATCGTTTCTCATGATAACATGTTCTTGAATTAGACCATAATTTCATTTCACTACCTACTTGCAGGCACACATATTTAAACGCTGTCTGTCTTACATAAAGAGATCGGGGACTAAATTGATCTTTTCAAAAATCTTCTGCTATACCTTAGCGCTGCAAAACTATTCTACGCAGAATTACCAGCAGGTGGCGTCTGCGCATTTTTGCATCCAATTTTTTTTTTAGTGTGGAAATTTAAACGCGGGGAACAGTGGGCATAAATGACCTCAGCCTGGGAAGCTGCATTACAACAGAACACACATCTATACATGAATTCCTCATTCCAAGTTCAAGGCTTCATAAAGCCATTAAGAAGCATTCCGAAGCATATATGAAACAGTGACGAATTGAGCCTTAGTGGGCATCGGGTCAAAAAAATCAATGTCACTTGCTTTGCATGTGTAAGGTTGGGCCCCGTATCTTAATTTTGTTTTCTTTTTTACAGCAATATCTTTTTTTTGTTGTTGGATCGAGTGTCCTCTTTATGAATATGTGGTTATTTGAGGAAAGCCATGATATTACAAAGTTGTAAAGAACATAAGCACACAGAACAACAATAAGGAAAAAGAGGACTCCCGTTCACCCAATTTTACCAGTGCCCTTTAACCAGTCCAAAACCCCTGGTGATCCTTCTAGCCCACCTGCCCTACCTGCCCAGTAAACCTCAGGATTGGGATGAGTATGCAGTTGGCATGAGCCACAGCTGTCACCCCTGAGGGCATCATGGGGTTTGCTTTCCTTGTGGCTCCCTTGACGACCTCTCAGCTGCCCCCAGGCTAGGCGCTATACTCTATTAGTGAATGACTTTGTTTCTGATTCAGGGGGGCTGGAGGTTATGTTTCATTCCTCTGACCTACCACGCCTGTCTGACCTGACTCCCCACTCGCTCTTTGTCTTTCTGCTGCACGGTTTGTGTGAAACAGCGTGGTTCGGAGTGGAGGGTCCGGAAGGGGTCCATACCAGATGCAGATGAAGAAGTGGAAGTCACCGACTTCAAGGTGATATTTCAGGTTAAGGTGAGTGAGTTAACCAAACCGGGAACATAGGATTCTCCTTTACAGTGCAGGAGTGAAGGATTAACAGTAGTGTGGAGGCGCAGTTCACCGCTAATTAGCAATGACAGGAGGTGACCCCACATGCTGAGCCTGTGCAGAGATCGCCTGGATCGTGCTCAGCCCTTTAGAGACTAGAGATCTGGAGCTAAATCTCACAGGTTTAAGAAGAGGAACTCTCCGCTGTCTGAGGTCCCCTTATATATGGAGTACAAGAATGATCTAAACCAAGGTTTGAATTTAGTGTGGAAATTAGCTGAAAAATGTATAAAACTACTGTAAAGGAACAAGTAATAGGTTTATTCCATGCTGAAAAAAAGAAGAAAGAGAACACAACGTTTCGGCCATGGAGCCTTCTTCAGGTGTCACACCTGTGTCACACCTGAAGAAGGCTCCACGGCTGAAACGTTGTGTTCTCTTTCTTCTTTTTTTCAGCATGGAATAAACCTATTACTTGTTCCTTTGCAGCCTACGCATGCTGACGCAGCTACCCACCTGTAAAACTACTGTATACAGAACGTCTCCAAAACCACTTGCTTGACTAAAACAAGGTACATGTTGTTGAAGCCACAGATATGTGCAGTTCACTAGTTTTTATTAAAGAATACTAAATACATAACAATATATCTAAATGGATGTGGTGGATTTAAGGGTGGATGAATTGCCTGCCTGGATATTGAAGTAAAAGCTTTGTGAATCCTTTCTTTCAGGATGACTCCCATATAGAGACCTATGTGTCCCAGGAGCTTGTTGGAGCCGTTCTTGACCACTTTCTCTTCAAAATATTCATAATGGCCTCCATCGTGGGCAATTCCATCATCATTGCTTTCCAAACCAGCCCTTTCATAGCTGAGGTGAGTTCACCAGAATGTGTGGGGGACAGTCATCTTTAAAATTGCCCCCTAGTTATTTTCTCTAATGCTTGTGTCTTCTCTTTTTCTTAGAGATATGCCACAGTTTTCAATGTTTTTGAACAAATATTCCTGACCATATTTATCTGGGAGATTCTTGTCAAGTGGTACTACGGCTTCTACATCTTTTGGAAGGTGACTCTCCAGTTACTGATGGATCCAAAATAATTTGTGACGATGTAGGCTTGTGTTTGTTCTGCTGATCGAAAACTCAAACTGACTGTTCAAAATCTGGATTCCTGTTTCAGGATGGCTGGAACATCCTGGATTTCATGATCATTGCATCTCTGATTGTGGGTCCAGCTGTGATGTCTCCGGGAAGCACCAACGTTCTCAGGATTCTCAGGTTAGTGCTACTAAAACTACTGCTGCTACAAGTGGATAAGTCAATCAATATGAGCATTTATAAGATTGCTGCCTCTGCAGCTGCTCCTGCGTCTATTGATACTACTGTTACTGCTTCTACTATAAAGCTAAACACTGCTGCAGTTGCAGCTGTACGTTGTGTTGGTAGACCACTAGGGGGGCAATCTTACTACTGACTCAGAATTTCCAAATCCAGTACACCCTGCCCTTTAGCTGAAACATTAAAACTGAGGTCTTGATTATTTTGCTATGAAACATTCCAAGGCACCATTCGAAAGAGCAGGGGTGTAAACCCTGATGTCTTGGCTACATTCTAAAATCCACTCTCGGCTTGTACAAAGTAGTTGCCCCTAAATTTCCCCCATACGTCGGTGAGGTATTTTCTCTCTTCTCTAACTGCTCTATACAGTGGGCCTGCTGGAGTGTCTCCCAGTGGGTCCATGATATATGTGAAGAACTACTGCAAATGCTACTTCTCCAACTATTAACTAAACATCCCATATATTTACGCATTTAGCACAGTGTTAAGCTATTTATATTAATGACAATCAACTAAAGAGAACTTTACGGTAGATGTAGCCAACAGCACACCTTCTTCCAGTTGTGACCACATATTCCGCTATTTGTGAAGAATATATTGCTGAGATTATAAAGACTTAGGTAGTGAAATTAATCAAACCATTAGAACAGGATTTTATGGTTATGTACAGTACTGTATGTGTGTGGTCAGGGATAAAGCCAGTCGTGTTCTATTAGCTGGTGGACTCTTTCTCCAGGCAGGTTAGTTAGCTTAAGTTCTTAAATGGCACCAGGATGACTACATGCTAATGCTCATGGCAGTGTTCAGTTTGTTCACTTACTGTAGGAACAGTATAAGGCAACAGCGTCATCTGGACAGCACCTGTCCACAGGCAGGCAAGTGGAGTTAAACTGGTGCAGAGTCAGCTTGTCTTACTGGCCCGCTTATGTTCCGCGCGTGCAGAGTTCTGAGGGTGATCCGCAGCATCCGGGGCTTCGCTGCCCTGCGGGGCGTGGCCATGATGGTCCAGGTGATCCTCCAGTCTATCCCGGACATGGCCAACATCTTCCTGCTGCTGGTCATCATCATGCTGGTGAGATGATGACCTTTGGCTCCCGCTGGGTGCGACGCCAGCAAATGCCTGCGTAGTGCTCAACCCCGCCACGTTACAGCCTGCCTTCTCTGACAAAGGCACAAGTACTGTGACACCACACTAAGCACAAAATAGAGCAGGCACAAACACACCAGTAATTGGTAGCCTTGTGGATCCAGAAGACTCCAAGCAAGATTACATCTGTTATTCAGTTGTTTATAGTTAAACAATTGCATTTTTTAGCAATGGGACTTACAAAACAAGATTGTTTTACTAATTTGTAGTACTAGTATGAATAATAGGACTTGTAAGAGCTCTATCTGAATCTCTCTCTCTACCTGAATCCCATAGAAATTGAAATGTCGCTGTGACTGATTTCAGCATTAGAAGGGGATTTTCATTTTGCTTGGGGTCATTTCCTCCCAGGTGTTTGCGGTGTTCGGAGTCACGCTGTTCGGCGTGGCGGTGCCCTCGGCCTTCGGGGATCTGGCCACGGCCATGTACTCTCTCTTCATCTGCATCACGCAGGATGGCTGGATGAGCATCTACCAGCAGTTTCAGTACGTACTGTACCACGAACACCCGGCCTGACGCGGCAGTCCTGTGGCATCACATTGCGCGCTTAGCGTAGTAAGCGGAAGGGGGTTTAGGCTATATAGCCGTGGTGCTTCCGTGAGTGAGGAGTGATGTTGACATTTCTAAAAAAAAGGGTGCTGTTTTATCTGATTTAGAGTATAGTAGGTTAAAGCAGGATGGCCTTTAGTTTGCTATTCAGTGTGCAGCTGAAGAAAAAAAAATGGCAACACGACACCAAGCATGGAGCAGGACAGATATCACCCTGGCCTTGTGCCCTCCTCAGCTCCCAGTGAGAACTTTTATCTAGCCTGGGGAGAAGGAGACACTTTAGGGAAACTTGGTTTGTGACTGGCTCACTCTCAGCTCACTCTCAAAGTGCAAAGTTTGTTTTTTTATTTTTATTTCACAATGTTTTCATTTTGTTTTTACCAGTGCAGCCTTAAACAGTCAGCAGCTTTAAATACGTCTAGTTCTGAGAGAGCAAGTCAAATATGGGACAACAGCACAACAGTACAACAATGGCCAAGTGGCACTGTCAGCAGTGCTTGACAGCTCAGCTGAAGACACTCTTTTTCTTTTGTGTACAATGGCCTATTCTTTACACCACCACCACGGCCCTCAGCACAAGGTCTCCTAGGCCAGGATTAATGTTCATATTTCTTTTTTGTTCCCTGTCTCTTCCTGTGTGGTCAGGACGGAGGAGGAGGGCTTGATGTATGGAGCTGCAGTCTATTTCTTTGTCTTCCTGACGGGCGGCGCCTTCATCTTCGCCAACCTGTTGGTTGCCGTGGTGACGACCAATCTGGAACTCGCCATGGCTGAGTATGACGAGCACAGCTCCAGCCAGGGGGATGACAAAGTCGCATTGGTCAGTGCTCACGTTTGCTAATGACGTTCAGGACCTCCCCTTTTCTCTATTTCTGTTTCAGCATCACGGTACAGCACAACAGAATCACTGTACATTGCAGCAAAGTACTGCACAGTAGGCCTACAACCCAGACTGTGTAAGGCTCTCTCTGTAAAAAGAATGAAAGGAAAAGTGTTGGTTGTGCATGTTGTTTGCAGTGTCAGTATGATGAAAAAACAATGCTGACCACAGGGAACTGATCCTAGATGGGGAGAACAGGTCAGACAGAGAACTGAATGTACAGCACAGCAGGGTATAAAACAATGCAATGGAGCTTAAGATCATATAGTGTAATTTGGTGCATCCGTTTTCAATAACCGATTAGTCTAATACAGGGTCACGTGGAAGAACTGGGTACAATACAACAAAGTTATTATATAAGTAGCGGGTAATTCTATGCTGTAGCATATAAAGAAAGGAGTAGAAAAACCTTTTTTCATTTGAGAAGACTTCTGCTGGTACAGTATGTAACTTTCATTTTTCTGTTTTGTGGTGTAGAATTAGTCTTTACTTAATCTCTTGCTGCTGGACGCTAAAACTACTCACCACTTGAACCTCTTTAAATTTCAATTGTGTAGTGTAGTGAAATACAGCAGAGGTAGACAGATGTGGTCCCAGATAACACAAGGCTCTTGTGATTCTCTCCTATATCTTGCTTGGCCACAGTTTCTGTTGTTTCTGACTCTTACTTTTTGGGAGATTACAACTGAGTGTGGCTGTACAAAGTGTTTGTCTCTTCACAGTGTCACTGTCCACACTGTAAAGTTTCACAGCAAGTTCTTTGTCTTCTGCAATCTTGATTGCAAACATCCTAAACCGCAATCCTTATACTTTTTGGAGGTACTGTATGTTTTCAAGGGTGATTGTAAGACTTTATGACCACTCTGTACTGTAGATGTACAGTAAGTAGAATGCAGAAGTGCACAACACAATGTACGACACCACCTTGTATGGCACAGTCACAGTACAATCCAGCACAGTCCAGAAAATGAGAGAGTAGTGCAGATCTGTGAGTGTGCCCTCTGGTGTTAGACCCAGAAACAGCTGGAGGAGGACTCTGTCACGGATATTGACACAGTTCACCTGGAAGAGGTGCTCCGGGAGACCAAGATGACCCAGCGGCAAAAACCATACAAGTACAGCTGCTTGGAGAACCTGACCATTGAGTCCTATGAAGAATTCTGCATGGTGCTGGAGGCCATCCAGAAGAACATCAAGGATTACCAGAAGATCCGCCAGGAGCTGAACAGGTGGGGCCAGGTGTAATGCCTGGCAGAGAGCTGCTTGGTGTTACTGCACATGGTGTCCTGTCATGCTCATTCAAAATGGCACCACCATTATATGCGTCTAAAAAACCGAACTGCAGCATGACCCACATCAGAGATCACAGCACAGTTTTGTGTGTGATTAGAATAAACAAATAGAACTGCAGGAAAAAATATCAAGCCTTTTTCTCTTCTCTGCATTTCTCTGACTTTCTGCAGTGACTTTCTCTCATTTTTGTCTGCTTGTGCTATTTCTTGGTGTCTGTTCTTAAAAACCTAATGTTACTGAGATCAACATGGCCAGTGTCATTCAAACCCACCCATCCCCATGGGACACATTTGGATTGACTAGGTAATGATTTTGAGTTGATTAGCTATAGGAAATACTGTTGTTTGTGATGCCCTATGCTGTTTTCATCTCTTCAGTATTGTGGGAGAAGTACAAGGGATATCCTTCAACCAGGAGCAGGAGCAGGAGGTGATCATGAGGAACAAACAGGCCTCACTGTTGCAGGACAACCTCCTGATGAATGAAATTGCCACTGGCAGGACAGGGGACATGCTGTCCACACTCATGATCCTGGAGAAGGTAGGGGTATTAGCTGTTAAAGCCAAGGACCCATGTCCAGTGGAATAATTATAGTATAGTAAAGGGCAGCTACTGTATGTTATTAACTCTTACTGAGTATGAACTCAGTGAATTACAAACAGAAGTTCATTTTCAGATTCTAGAGCAAATAAACAGCTTTGGCTAGGATGAATGGATTGCTCCTTGTTTCCAGGGAATTTAGGAGTCAAACACTCACTTGCAAGACTTTGTTGTACTCTGCCATGGTAAAGGCAGCTAAGCACAACCTTGTTCTCACTAAGAGCACGTCTTGTGACAGAACAATTAGACAGAAAAATCAGGATGCAAATACAGAACATGGGAAAATGTTCATGTGTACTGTAAAGACATACAGAACAAGTGTGGTCCAAGTGCACGCGTTAAAAATCACCAAGAGGCTTGGTTTTAAATTGAAAAACAATGCTTTCCACTGCTATTACCTCAGGTGGAAGCTCTGTGTTCACCTCCTTGAATTTAAAAAAGTTAAACAGGAAGATTGCAGTGTGATGACATTGCTGGTTGGTTGTTTTCTCTATTTGTCCCAGTGAAATGTACCTCTACCTTAGCAAATATTCCAGCCAGGCAGGAATTTGCTCTCAGCTTTCAAAAGAGCAAGAGGAGTAATAATGATGGTCAACTCAGTCTCTGAGGTTGCTCCAAACCTTGAATTAGTCTTTACTTATTCTCTTGCTGCTGGACGCTAAAACTACTCACCACTTGAACCTCATGACATTTCAAATGTCAACTCAGTCTCTGAGGTTGCTCCAAACCTTGGAGGAGAGGTTTATAGAAGTGTGTGTATGGGTCTTGTAGTGCCATTTGTCCTTCTGTTTTCATGCTAAGACATGGCCCTGTCTGACAGGAACTGTGACATCATCAAACAGGCGCACTACAATTGGTTAGAGCAAGAAAACCATAGCTAGTGCTATGCATATGAGACTGTGTATCACAATAACATTAACAGGGGTGTCTTCTGACCTCTCCTACCACATGGGCTCAATAGATAGGCTTGGGACCCAACATATTCAGGTCAGGTTTGGAAAGCCAGACCAAACCCAAGGTCTGCATGTTGACACCCCTGGGTTGATACCTTAAAGCTTATGGGTGTTATATTAAATGCCAGTGTGTTTAAAATCCCCCCCAGAAACTTTGTGCATGCAAAAGGTACTAATGCATCTATCTTTTTAATATATTGCTGTTTGTGTTATAACATTACTATATTTGTGTTATAACATTCTAGTAACATCACATGGTCACCCATTTCATTATTTTTTTATCCTTTTTACAGGCAAACATAATTGATTCAGCATCGCCCTCACCTGCTCTGTACCAGAAGGGGACTGTGCTTCAGGCGGCGATGAAAGCAAAAAGGAAGTCTATATGTTAGGTCCCCAACATCCTCTTCACCCACACTTCCACTGGGGAAAACCCTTTGAAACGCACTGAAGAATATTATGTACCTAAACCCATCCATATCATTCCTTCCTTCCTTCCTTTGCTCATGATCAGTGATCCAGCTCCCCAGGCAAGCTGTTCGATCCTGGGTTACTTTTTCCTGAGTTTCCCTTGACCTTGCTGCTTCCACAGTACTGGAGTCAGGTGTGATGTGGAAGGATATGCTGATTAAATAAGGTGGAGGAGAAATAACCAGAAATAAGAACCTCGTGTTGTACCACTGTTTTCATTTCTTTCTTACAGAAGATCAAAGATTTCTTCCATTGATGAAGCAACTGAAATATTTCTAAAATAAATCTACAACAGCAGGCCAGAGAGAATAATGACATAACGAGGCCATCCAATCAGTCAATCACAGAGCTAGCTAAGCTTCTGAAAACTCATGAGTAAACCCCTTAAATCAGAACAACAGGCTTGACATTCCAGTTGAGGGGCTGAGAAGCTCTGCCACCCTGCTCCTGGGTCTGACTAGGACTGTGTGGGGCAGATCATTGCCACAATTGCCTGGCCTGACTTAAAGTACATCCCCTTTCAGAGTCTGACCTTGGTGTCCTCTGAGTAAAATCTAAGGAATTGTAGGGTTGTAAAAGCATCTTCAGTTAAGCTCATAGGCCTCTTTGTCCTCATTCTGGGTCTTTGCTGTGCACAAGGTGCATTTAGTGTGTTTGAAGCTCAGAGAGAGGGCCACCCCTCCCAGGAATTCAATACTGCCCCCCGCCCAGCCAAAATAGAGTGAGCTGCCTCCCCAGTGCTGCATGTGGGGGTGGTCAGGGGCTGGTACCCCCAGGTGCCACGCATAGATCCCCAGGGTGGCGAGGCACAGCAGCCCAGAAAGCATGATGACCACTCCGCTGGCGCCCGCCACATTGCGCTGTGGGAAGTCCATCCAGCAGCGGGCGCCGATGCCAGCCAGCACAATGCCCACCCCGGAGAGGAACAGGGAGCCCAGGAGCAGGCCCCGCGCCCAGAGCACGCCGGCGTCTCGCGGGTCGGCCCCCGACACGGGCCAGCAGAGCTTGAGCTCCGGCTCGGCCACCCGCAGGCAGGACTCCCACAGCCCGTCCGTCCTCACCGCCGACCCCTTGCCCAGTCGCACGTGGCCCTCTCTCCACTGGGGCGTGATGACCGCCGTGAAGACCAAGATCAGCCCCACCGGCGTGCAGGCGATGCCCGCGATCATCGGCGTTGGGGTCTGCATCCCGGGTTCCGAGCCAGAGGGAGCCGGGTAGGAGAGGAGCCTCCCTGGGCCAGCAACAGATTAGCAGAGAGCTGGAGAAAAAAAAAACTGTTCATGCAGGTATGTGCATGATCACAAAAATGGTCAATTGGCCCATCTACCTAATTTGTATACCTGATACACGTTCCACTGTATAGGAAAAGGCTATTCATCCATCCTCATGGTTGCATGGTGGTTAGCCTTGCCTTGGGTTCAATTCCTGGAGTGCTATCTCTGTGGAATTTGTATATATTCTCCATGTTTGTGTGGGTTTCCTGCCACCATCCGAAGACAAGCTTGTACACATACACAGGTATGCATCTCTGCTTGTGTGTCTGCCCTGCGATGGACCGGTCTCGTCTAGAGTGCATCCCGCCTTGTGCCCGTTGCTTTCTGGATAGGCTCCAGTTCCGCCGGGACCTTAAATTGGATGAAGTGGTTATGAGATGGATGGATAGATATTCAAACATTATAAACGCTTCTCCATGTGGCATAAATGTGGACTGGAGCTGGGGGAGCTACATTACATAACTAGGGTGGGCTTTCAGAATATTTCTGCTCTTTGCTCTGAGCCTTGTTTGTCATTGTTTCTCTTGTGTATCAGTGTTTACACTTTAGAGTTTAAAAGAACCGGTCCCACAGACAGGCATGTTACATGATATAAGGGTTTAATACCCTTTGTCTCTATATCTCTATAAAGGTATTTATGATGTGAAGCTTCTTATCTGTGTGCATTAACAAGTTTCTGCAGCTTCCTTTTATGTTTTATGGAGGAAGCGTGTTTACTTTCCCAATTCTACCAACTTGTTCCGCATGTTACAAACAGAGGAATACGGAGATGAAGAAGAAGTTGCGTGAAAGCAGACATTGGCTGAGTCTTTAAACACATTGTTCACAGAGCCCTTTTATCAGGCACTTCCACAAGAAAAGCCACTCTAGCTGTGTCATAACGAAGAACAGTCCACTTCCACACTCTCGCAGATTAACAAGGGCAAACTGATTACGCAGAAGGACAAGAAGGTGTCGCTATGGCAACACGCTATCATTCAGAAAAGTAGTGGAGTGAGCCTGCACTACTGGTTTCTAGGTATTTAAGGTTGTTTGAGCATCCGACACATTTTTTAGTTTGTAGTCCATCCATCCATTTATAACTGTTTCATCCATTTCCGGATTGCAGGGGAGCCAGAGTCTTTCCTAGAAAGGAATGGGCACAGGGAAGGGTGCACCCTGGATGGGACATCAGTCCATTGCAACCAGCGACACAGACATGTACGCACACTCGCACCAGGGCCAATTTTCCCAGAAGCCAGTCACAACTTACCAGTATGTCTTTGGACTCTAGGAGGAAACCCATTCAAACACAAGGAGAGCACACGAATTCCACACAGACAGTACATCAGGTCCAAAACTGAGTCCAGCGCCCCTGTGCTGCAAGGTACTAATGCTAACCATTGCACCAATGTGCCACTCCCTTAGTGTGCAGAGTAATCAAATAGCAATTTGGAAACATTTACTTTGGCTGCGGCTATTGAGCCCTTACAAATATTTTGTTATGATGTTTTACCACGTAAAAACAGACTATTAGAGTTACATGCCAAAGACATCTTAAATAGAAACTGCAGTCACTCGTAAATTGGTAGAGGAAGAATTCCTGTTTTATTCTTTTTAAAATATTTGTCCTGAAGTGAGTGGAATGTGAAGGTTGCTCCTGAGGGCATTGTCAGATTAAAATCACAACTGCCTTAGTAGCTAAATATTATCCATTCTGGGTTGAAGAGTTATCAAATGGGCAAATCACAGCATTCTGACTATTTTCGCATTTTTGTGCAAGCACACCGTGATGGATCTTGAAACTAAAAAAAGGACTAAATAACTGCAACAGCTGGGATCCCTGGTGCTTACTTCTATATTTGTCGAAGAATGTCCATATTAGGGTACATACCACTCCTATCTTCATACTGAATTGCCCTTTAAATTAGATTGACCTAATTTCAGATTGTAAAACCTCAAGCATTTAATCATCTCCAGGGACATCCAAACAACTGGAAATGTAATCGAAGTAAAAGTGTTTGATGTAAATTCCTCTTTTATAGTTGTTCCATTTAAAATTACAGAGCACTGTCGGGATTGTACAGTAAGACCTACAGTAGCATTGTGTACTTACTCTTCAGGCAGGTGCTGTCAGCCTAACATCTAGCTACACCACACTCTCACACTTGTACGTCTTGAACACAGAATCGCTTCAGTCTCAGCTTTAGCTGAGAGCCTTTTGGCAGGTGTGACAAGAAGCAAGTCTTAGTTATCACTGTTTTTTAATTGTCAGCATTCACCTGTGCTGCTCTCTGAGTCAATTTCAGACACATTAACCCCCACTTAAACCCAGTACATTGATCCTTGAGCGAATAAACTTGATCTTACCTTGTCACAGTAGCGGAAGATGGGCTGTCTTCTGTATTCTTCTGTTCAGCTGACCAAGCCCCCACCTGCTACATCTTCTCTTCTAAGAGACACTTTGTTGTTCAGGGCTGAGCAGCGAGCAGCGAGAGACTGTGAGCCACAGTGCTGCGCTCAGTTTGTGCGGGATGTGTTCACTTCAGACGCGTGGATCATAGAGCCCTGAGGAAAGAGGAGAGGGAGGTACAGTGTGTGGTTGTGGCGGGGGGAGGAGTGTTATTAAGCAAAATCATTCACATCACAAGACACAGAGACATACTGTATCTGTAAGACCTGTGGTCCTGCAACTGCAGAATCAGAGCTGTCTTTGTATTGTCCGTCAATAGATTTGACATTGGGCATTTACACAACACGACTTTGTTGCTGGACTGCATTTCAGAGTATAGCTTTCTCTGCATGATGACAAACTGCCCTGAAGGTGAGGGCTCTCATATTTTAAAATGCAGATTTGTGGCTCGACACAGAAGAAAAAATCAATAGCAATCACAGAATTCTCAGCAATCACAGAACTCTCTAAAGAAATAAATTTGTCATATCACCTAATGCTGCTGTAAACTAAGGCAAAAAGATTTTCAGAAAGGCTCTTAATTAGTCTCCTGAAGAAGTCTATAGGTTCATTGCAAAGGTTTCTCATTATACCAAAAAGACGGCTGGAAATGTGTTATCATTTGTACTTTGAGATATTAAGAAGCAACTGTGAATATTAATGTTGCATTAAATGATAATCTCTACTAGTTCCAGGACAGCAATAATCTCCAGCAGAGCCAGGACAGTGATAATCTTTACTAGTGGCAGGAAGAGATAAAAGGTCAATTAGATGTCAAGAGAATGTTCATTGATGAACTGGGGTGAATCTTTTTTTTTTTTGCAGTGGATATTTAGATAATTTGTAAAGTCACAACACTAAGCATTAAATAGAACAAACACAAACACCCATATCTGTCTTAAGGTATTACGCAGAATTTGATGAAGACAATCATGCAGAAGCCTAATATTAATGCCATGGGCAGATGGGTGGCTGTATTATTTGGAGGCAGGAGTTTTTTTTAATAAGGCGGTGCTGTGTACTATTCATATGGATTGCATTCCTCAGAAGTTCAGGGCCCTAGGAGTGTTTCTGCTGAGGAAAGAGGCTGGCAGGATGTCTGTGAACAATCTGCTGTAAGAGGAAGTGGACCAGGCAGTAGGTGATGATTTCTGAGGAGGAGGGTGGAAGTGTTTAATTAAATCATAATCATTATTTTCATTTTGAGAGGGAGAGAGGTGAAGCTGTTTCCTGGAGAGAGCCAGACAAATCTTGTTCTGTGAATTGCTAATTTTAGAATATGCTCGTCTGGAGGAAAAGAAAGCATAGAGTCAGATGGAGCTGAGGGAAAGTCAATGAGTTTTACCCCTTGAGTGCTGAGAAAGACAGAGAAGAATTCAGTCCAGTTTGAGTGTTTTGCTGTCTGTGAGTAGTGTGTATGTCAAATAAACGTCTCTGATCTCGTAAAAGCAGCAAAGGAGAAAGACTTTTGTTTTTGTATTTTACTGATTTAGACAATATTGGGAAGCAATGGAGAAAGAGACCAGCATAATGTTTGCAAATACCTTGAAAATTGCAAGAGGTATATCTAGAGAAGCCATTTGCAGTACCAGAAAGACGTCACCTAATCAACTACAGCAGGTTGGTGATACTTTGCCGATCACCAACCTTATCCAATCACTAATTTTCAAGACGTCCTAGACAATGAAACACAGCAAACACTCAAAGATCGCAAAACATGGGATCTGACAGGAGACAACAGGGAAAGAAACTCCCGGATGCTTCCAATTGTTCTTTGAAATATCAAAAGGAATCACTTTCAATAACTAGCTGAGGAGCTTGATTCAAACAAACACCCACCATACTTTGTGCATGAAAGTGTTTCCTTTTCTCATCGGTGTGGACCTTGATACTGGAAGGTGTATCGCTGTAAAATCACCGAGCCTGCAGCTGCCCTGGAGACCGCTGTCCCACAGGATGACAGACCAAGCCTACAGCCTTTTCTCTTTCAGCTCAGGAACAACAGCTGTGCACACAGTAAGTGTAAAAGCGCTGGAATTTCTCAGGTAAGGTTTAGGGACGAAGTAAAGACAAAGGACAGGACTACCTAAACTCACATTGAGCCAGGGTACAATGTAAGAGTTTCAGAAATGATCCCATGAACATAACAACATTTCAAATGAATAAGGACAAGTGAGGCAAAAATTTAGAGTCTTAAATGTAATTTAATTTAAATTTTCAGATCTGAAGGACACAGTTTTATTCAAGGATTTGTTTTGGACTCCTTTACAGATCTTATGACAATGCTATTGCATTAAGAGCGTGTAATTTTATAGCTCATATCAGACCATGTTTATGTGAGTATTTACCTAGCTTTCTCTTTTTTGTATAATGGATTTCAGACCTATTTAGGTATAATTCAGGAATTTCATTATGCAAAACATCCTGTGGTGCATTTTCCTATCAAAACCCTTAATGACGACTTCATCCCTTCCACTGATTGAGAGCTTTCAGTAACCAAGGAGACAGCAGTACTGTCTTCTCCATACCTCTTTATTATGTGTTGTTAGTACTCATACATCTAAAAGAAGGTTGCGCCAATAATTGAGGTTGTTTTGAAAAAGGCTTTTTAATAAGATGTACATCTCGGCAGACGCCTTTTTTTCTGGCATTCATTCATGGTCCTTAAATAGAGGCTGAATAAAAGTCACAGTTATTTCTGGCTTCTTGTGAACTTGGACGTGTCCATTTGTGATGTGACTGTAAAGTCTTTTCAATCCAATTTCCTAGCCTCATCATATTATGGTTCAGGAAAAAGTCATTTCCTTGTTATAGAGTCCACAGACAACCAGTTCTACTCTAAATTATGGAGAAGGGGCCTAGTGAAAAAAATGGAAATGCTTACAAATTATAGAAGGAATATATTATGAGGGGGCAATTTTAAAGCAGGTTTTTTAATTATTTTAACATATTCGTACTTTGGGTTAGATACTCAGAATGGAGTATGTTTTATAAACAAGGGCAAGTTATAGGGCAAACTATTAACCTTTATTTTCTCTAAATGTGGACTTTTTACTTTTGTTATGTTAAGAGACTTGTTGCACTTATTTATTGCAGTTATAATTAAAAATCTACGCAGCAGCCAAGTTCGCTTTGCAAAATAATTAGAACTGATTAACACTGTGTACAGCTGGGTCCAAGGACATTTTTGTTGAAGCATCTTAGTATATTCAGTATATGACTACTGGGTCATAAAAGCTGAGACCAAAATTGCTTGCATCTGGGAATGTAATGGAAAAAGGGAATAACATTCCATTTAAATAAGATAGCTTCTGCTTTGATGACTTCCATGAAACTTTTGACTACCTACAGGAAAGATCTGAACGCCTTGGCCTTACTCTTCCAAGTATATAAAATTAAATGAAAAGTTCTCCTGTCAAGGCACACAGTTACCATTTTAAATGCGTGCAGCCCTGTACGTGCACTGCCGGCTCCTAGCATATAATTTACGCACCTAAAACAACAGAGTATCAAAGATTGAATATCATTTCAGCTCCAAGGTTTGTTGTGCATAGTTTCTTTCCGTTCCTCTTTGCAGAACGAATCCCACTCCCAAAACTGAAATAGTGAAATATTTGTTTCTCCCGCTGTGGCCTGTATTCTTTCGGTACGGTAGGTTTAAAGAGCTGTAATTGTTTTTAGAATATGAGTTTGATATCTTGCCCTCAGGTAAAACTCACCGCTCACATTATAAGGCCATGTTACAACAAAAGTGAACAAAAAAATATATACACCTGTGGTAAATACTGGGTATAGTGTGGTAAAGCACTGTAAACTCATGGTAAGGAAGGGAGGTACTATATAGTTAGCACTGTTTGCTGGGACAGAAGGATTGGGAAATCATCACCCATTTTCTCTTTACTCCTTAGGGCTGAGCCACATTAATACACTGACTTCAGAAACCACTGTCCATTCAAGACCCTGAAACTTGATTTCAATCTAGTCTTTATTTGGTTTGTTGCAAAGGGTGAGAATGGATTCTCATTGTAAAAGTTAATGGACATGTAATCACACACAGCAGAACATTCACAGAACAGATAACACATGACAACTGTTTCCAGCTGTTTCACTGCAACCTAGACCAGTGATGACCACAGTCCAGCAGGGTCTCCAGGGTCTCTTTACTGCAGGGATCTCTGTCGCAAGGGTGTTGTAGGTTTTTTTAAGTCATCAACAGTACAAGACCTCAGAAGGATGTTTAACTAAGCTCAGGTAAGTCTTGATTGAACTCTTCTGCAATGGTCTGAAGACACTAAGATTTGAAAGACCTACTGGTCTGTTTCCTTTGATGAGTGGACTCGGGGAACCCTGAGGTCTCAGTGGCCTGACTGATCAGCATGAAAGACCTGGGAATGATGCTGAATTTGGCCGGTCCTCAAGACACACTGAGGGATTTTCATCTCTTCTCTGCTCTTAGATTCTTAATTGATCTAATCACTTGACAAACTTGCTGCGCATCTCCCCAGTCTTTTAGCCAAAATACCTGAAGGACTGGACATGTCAGGAGGGATAAACTGATCCCGTTGTCCCTTGTTTGAGCTGGTTTCACACTCTTCCTGGGGTCTTGTGCTGCCGATGGTTTAAAGAGACCTACACAACCTGCTGCCACAACAGCGCAGACTTGGACAGTCCTGATACAGGTCGAAAAGAGACAAGAGGCAGTCGTTTTCTATAAGAGCAACACCCTTTGAAAAAAAAATCAACCTGACAAATGCATTCCCCTACCACCCTTCAATCCTCAAAGTGAGAAAAGAACAAGCACCACACACTGTTCATTTTGCATTATGTCCCTTTACTTTGTTCCTAGTTATTTTTCCCATTATTAAATGCACTAAAACAATGACAGATCAATTAATAAATAAATAACTGATGAATAAATGACATTATTTAAAAAAAAAAACTTCACCTTTTAGGTTCATGAAGGAAAACACAAATGAGAAGAACCCAAAAGCAAACTTAAGTAGCATTTGTAATGAAATCAGGCATACAGTATATCTGTCATTTCACACCAAAGCTCTGAAGTGATCTGAGACTGAAGTCTTGAAGGAACTGTTTTGGTCCATCGCCCAGAGGTTGCACATCTGTTGCCACTGAATGTGGTGACAGAAGCTTTTTTCTTGTCTGTACAGAAGAGACTGTCAGGCCACAGGAAACAGGGAAGGAGCCAGTGGGGTTAGTGGAAAGTTTACAAGCCTGCTGCTGGCCGACAGAGGGAGCTGACACCCACTGCTTCACACAGAATGCAGACGGGGACACAGTCTTGTTCACAGTGATGATCAGAACCGCCATTTTACACTAGTGCTGGATGTACTGATTCTCAGTCATGTTTAAATATAGTCATTCATGTCACAACAGACAGACCTAACGCATTTTTAAATAGAACTATCCCAGGAATTCAATTGCTGCATTATTATAATTATTATTTTCTTTTCCATTTTGTAACCACATCCAATTCAGGTTGGAGGGGTACAGCCTGGGTACACAGGATGCCAGCCCATCACAGGGCACCCGTAGTCACACACACGCAAGCCAGGACCAATTTTCCAAGAAGCCAATTAATCTACCAGTATATCATTGGACTATAGAAGGAAACCCACATAAACATGGGGAGAACATGCCAATGTCATAGAGACAGCACCCCAGGTCTGGAATTGAACCCAGGGTCCCAGCATTGCAAGGCAACAATAGTAACCACAGCACCGCTATGCCACCCTTTTATTAGTAGCAGTAATTGCAGTAGTAGTAGTATTTGCTTTGTGCCCTGTACTTTGGTTGCCACAACTCTTTCCAGAAAAAAAAGTCTCCTTCTGATAATAGAGGGGTGGATTCTGTCAGAATAAATCAGAAATTATTACAAATAGGAGCAGGTTTGTGAGGCAATAAAATGAGCATTTTCACAGTTTCATAGCATGAATTGTGCCCATTGCTTTCTGGGATAGGCTCTGGCTCCCCCGCTGGATGAAGTGGTTGGGAAAAGAATGGATGGATGGAATTACATGCATGGAAATCAGGAGAATTTCAGGGAAATTGAAAACCTGCAATGAGAATCCTAGGTTCCAGTAGATATTTCCCTCAGGAAAGCAGTTCTGCTGGTTGAGCAGTAAATATTTATATATACAGTATATATAATATTTATATCCATTGCAGAGATATATCCCAGAGGCAAGAAGCTTTGGTCACTGTCATACTATTAAAAAAAACTCTGATTATCACTGGCTACAAATTCACAGATTAAATCAGAATTATATCATTGTCATTTGAAAAATAAATCTGAAAATAGAAATGTAACTTGCCATACTTTTAATTACAAAAGGTAACAGTATATTAGCACTATATGTGTAACCCATATTTTAAAATACATTAGATAGAAAGATTGATTATTTCTGTTTGCTAAATGACGCAGAACCATATTCCTTTAGTCACCAGCACAGTAAGCTTCTGCTTAAAAGACTCACACTTAATATTATTTAATGTTAAAAGACATACCTCTTAATGTTACAAAGTTTAAATCAAACACTGAACCTACCTGTAGAAACCCTTAATTTAGCTGAGTTCATTTAATTTGAAGAGTGACTGGTTTATGTCATTATGTTGTTCTGTTACTACAAAAAGAAATGTAAGAGTAAATTTAAGAGTGATGGTAAATGTTTAGGATGTTCTGTGTTTTTTTCTTCTAAGCTTGATGTAACTGCACGATGAGGTCAGTAATGCAGACTGCAGTTGTACAGTTTGGGGTTATGTTTACCGTAATTCTGAAATGTATACATTATAAATAACTTCTGATACTCCAGCTCTGACAGCTCGTAAGGGATTAAAGTCCCAGACCATTTTGATAATTTGGCTTGGACCTTTTAAACACTTCCAATTACAACAAAAACTATGGTAGGAAAAATGGCACGTGAAATCTCGTCTTTACATTGCAAAAAGTCCTGTATACGGAGTTTTACATGAGAACGTTGTTATCGATCTGGTAATTGTCCTCGTATTAACAGTGGTAAAGAAACCTTCAGAAGAAGAAATGTTGTCTCTATTTTGTCCAGGAACTGGCTTATTCTGAAAAAAAGGTTTGCCGTGTGACAAACGTTGGTAACAGCTAAAATGAATCTCTAACTAGTGCTGCCTGATTTACAGTATTAAGAGGTGAACAGACAAAAACACCTATATCAATGCAGCAATTGAAACGTTTGAAAAAATAGGTGGGAACTACGGTATGACATCACACAGAAAAGTTATCGGACTGAAACGTTTTCTCCTTACAAATATTGCATTCTGAAGGTGTTTTACAGAAAGAGAAAACGTTCCTTTGAAGTCTCTTAACGATGGTGCGTGTTGTTTCTTTTCTTTTTTAATAAGCTTTTTGTTGTTTTTTTGCGGGTCACAAAACCATGTTCCCAGGGAAAACTGGATTGAGCACATCCTGGGGAAAAAAACACAGTTTCATCAGCGAACAGAATTTAGTTTGAAATGTTAGCGTGTTAGCGTTGCCGAGGAGAGACTCTCGTCGCTCATCGATAATTCTGTGTGAAGAGATGCTTCGGGTTATGATCACAAATGGGGAAAAAAAAAGTTTTTTTCTCAGTGAACGAGAACAGGATCTGACTTTTTTATTTATTTATTGTGCTTCTTCTTGACCGGATTTTGTAAGCCGGTTGTCACAGCCCATAAGGGTTCACAGTACAGGCATGCCTTAGTATGGCTGTATCACATTGCCCTTCTCATATCATTCAGTCCTGCAAACCTTAGTAGCTGAATTTAAAGGAAATAGTTGCAACAGAGAGTAGCAGTGGGCTAGATGGGTTTCAAAGCGGTGCATGTTAATTAGCTCTCCAATTAATAAATTGACGATTTCGGCCCCAGTTCTGATTCCTTACCATTGAGAGAGAGCCTGTAACAGCACAGTTCTCCTGAACAGAAGCCAGGATCTCAGCCCTGGGTCAGACGTACTCCTTCATGGGCAGGCTGGAGGTGGAGATGGGCTGGGGTGGCGGAGCGGAGGCGCGGCCCCCGGTGAAGTTGCGGGCGTACCCCCGGCGGTAGTCGTGCCGCAGGCCCTGCGGGCAGGTGCTGCAGAGCACGGCGCCGCTCAGCATGAGGATGACGGCGGCCGCCCAGCCCAGGTAGATGGCCTGCCCCAGCTCCCGCTTGTGGACGGCGGGCACCATGGGGTTATTGAAGTCGCTGACGACCGTGTGGGCGGTCCAGGAGACGGGGATGAGCACGCAGAGGCCCGTGACGATGAACAGGACCCCGCCGGTCAGGGCGATGCCGGCCTTGGTCTGCTTGTCGTCCCCGGCGCAGGTGGTGCACTTCATGCCACAGCAGGACACGGTGCAGGAGAGCCAGCCCAGGAAGATGGACAGGCACATCAGGGCCCGCGCCGCCTGGATGTTGGGCGGGAGGGCCAGCATGGAGTCGTAGGTCTTGCACTGCATCTGCCCCGTCGCCTGGTAGACGCAGTTCATCCAGATGCCCTCCCAGACGATCTCCGAGGTCAGGATGTTGTTGCCGATGAACGCCGTCACTTTCCACTGCGGCAGGGCTGTGACCGCGATGGCCATCACCCACCCCGTCACCGCGCAGATGAAGCTGATGAGCTGCAGGCCCGTGTTCATGGCTGCCCCCTCTCGGAGCCTGGCTAGGGTGACACGCCGCTACCACGTCTCCCAGCTCAGTGCCAGCCGACCCTTTCCTCTCGCTCTCCTCCCTCGCTTTGCTTTGTCTCTCTCCCACCTCCTGCTTCCTCCCCGCCTGACCTCTCCTCCTCACACCTGCCTCTCAGGAGCTGCGAGTCAATTATTCAGCAACTCAGAGCAACAGGAGTCAGATAGTCCAGTTGTCAGAGCTGAGCGAACCAGCTGGGGAACACAGGGCTCTTCACTTCAATTTAAATAGGGTTCAAATGCCGTCTAATTAAAGGCACCACCTCTTCACTTCCCACAGATTATCATCGAACAGTTTCTTTGGAGTTTTTAGTAAGTGTAGTAATTTGTTCTAGTCTAGGTCTAGATACTGGGCATATGCTTTCCGTAGTGTGGCTGATCATTTGATTTTGAATATCATTCCCATTAAAACTGAGGCATCTGAGGGAATCCAGATCACATCTCCAGAAAACAAGACAAATTGAGAAGTCTTAAGTGCCTTAAAAAAAACAGATGAGATAACAGAGACAACCAAAGGCGTAATTTAAATCCACTTCATTGTTGCTTCGCTAAATGTTGCCCAGGCTTTGGAGTCATGTACTTCTTCTATCATTCTTGCACAGCTTTCAAAATACTAAAGACCTCAGCTCTGCTCTGCACTGTTTAGGAAAAGTCCTTGTTGTCGCAATATAAATGAAGACGTTGAGCTGTGAAGCTGTTGAGTGCAACCAGGCCGGTGGACGAGAGGTTAAGTGTTACAGGTATCCAGGCTTCAGCATGCAGAACCGAAGGTGTTTCTGTTCCAGAGCTGGTCAGAACAGGCCTCAATGAAGCTGCAAATGTCCCCCCTCAGACAACGGCTGTATTCTTGTTTGCGCTGTGTGAGGCTGGTTCACAGTTCTGACAAACGCGATTTCGATTACCCTGCGATCGGGGGTGCTGAGGAACTGGAGACCTTCGAGGTACTGAAGAGCTGCTCTCTGCTCAGAGAGAGAGAGGGAGAGAGGAGTATTGAGAGAGAGAGAGAGTGTGTGTGTGAGGGAGACAGAGTGATAGCTGTAGGTGGATCAATTAAACACAAAGACAACGTTGGACTGTAACAATGGAGCTCCACTCACTCTGCCTCCCATCACAGTGCTTTTAAAATAAGCTTCCAGAAGATTGTTTTTGCTCTTCGTTCTGCCATGTCAGTGCGGAAGGAGTAACTGATGGACCTGCGGGGTCACTCAGTAGAACTGATGGCAGGGAACTCTGGGAAACCTGGAAGAGAAGACCCATGTCCCTAATCTCTGGGACCCCAATCTTTGTCACTAAACCACTGGGACACGGTCACAACACTTCAGCCTTCGAAGGGATGGAGGAACAGAAGAAATCAAAGTTTTCAAAACCGGGACGCAATGCCTCGAAAATTACCCCATGTGACACAGGGCTATTGTGTATTCCAGTTCCTGACAGCACAGATGTGTTTCACAAAAAGAACAACTGGACGGTGTGCATTATCAGGGATAAACTGGACAGTGCAATGAATTTTCTTTCTTTTTGTCACTTTCCATTTCCCTCTGATTTGGAATATTCTTAAACATTATTAACAATACTCCATAACTCCGTGTCATGTCTGGACAAAGAGACAAACCCTAGATTTTGTATGACTCTGTCTGATGCTCAGGACCTGGGTAACTATAACACCTAGTGATCATCAGAAAGACCCCCCCAAAAGCAGTACACTCTAAGACACATAAAAATGTCTCCTGAGTTTCAAGACGCAGGCTTCACATGCAAAGACATGTAGGTACTGATGAGATATACAGTATAAGTCCCTTTGATTTGTTTTTCAAAAGTATACCCTTCTAACACATGGGAGCAGGAACTTTGTTAAACTGCTAACAACACTCTTTGTAATTACAGAGACTGGTGATCCTCGACTGTCTTTGAATTGAAATAGGCAAGGCTGTGCTCATACATCTCGAGCTGTGCAGTGTGCCTGTTTTCCTTTTCCTGGGCTTGATGTGTTGTGCAGTTGTAAAATGGAGTAGGAGTTGCACTGAATATGTCTGTGGCCATTATGCTAGACAGCGGCTTTTATGTATGAAGCCTTTGCTCACTTGCTGTTTTTAGCATTTCAGATAGAAGCTGGCTTGCAAAGGGATGTCTGTCCCTCCTCTGTAGTACTGAAAGAGCACCTGGCCTCACACTGATGAATTAAATATAACGGGACCATTGAATCACTAGTTCATGTTTCCTTTCTCTCAAGGTCTCTTTTCCTTAGCAACTGTGGTCATGACAACAGGACAGGTCACAGGAAGAGAGAGAAATTTAGGTGGGTGAGGGGGCCACTGTTTAAACGGACCTGAGCAGAAGGTGAATAACCCCCCAAAAAAACAGCTTTCATCTTCCTTCTTCACATTTTTAGGCTGCACCCTTAGAAACGTTTTCAAAATTCTGGGCATTTTTGGCTGCATTACTTTTGTTAATATGGTTAGTCAAATATGAAAACCTTTGCAAGCTTTCTCATGTATACAGTATGTTTTCTGTTAAAGTCTGTAATTTGTTTGCATTTGACTTGCAGATTTCAAACTTTATAATAAAAGATGGGAAAAATAAAGTCAATTATCTCAGAAACTGAAGGTTTCAGCCTAAAGTTCACCAAAACTGGAGGTTACTAATACATTTGCATAATATCAATACATAGATCTAGAAATACATATAATAGCATATGTATTAATAACACTTTCACTGATTTCACTGTCTGTAGGGGATATTGCCATTTTAGCCATTTTGGAGATTTATGATGTATATCAAAGGTAAGAGGCCAGTAATGGAATATCAGTCTCTCCTGCCTTTTCCTGCTGTCTGAATATGATTAGGATTGTAAAATGATCACTTTATTATAAAGATGACACAGACTTATATAAAAGCTATAAAAGAATGTGGTACTGTGCAGCACCACTTTTAACACCAAGATACGTGCCCTGGGTTTTTCAAAATTTGTCTCTTGTGACAAATGATTAGAATAGTACAGAAGATTAACTCATACTGTATTCTCCTTGAACCCACTGTAATTAAATCTGGGTTTTGATATCAGAGATGAAATGCATAGAACTCAGTCTGATAAATTATTGAGGCAGCCAGGTACACTTGAATACCTGCCTTTGAATCTGGCTTGAAAATGCATTAGATGACGAAAATCCTCTTTCTATCGAACCGTGTCCCATTACCTATTAGGGGGTTTGCTGTGCCTCTCTGTTTAGCACAGCTCTACACGTCGGATAACAGTATAAAATACCTGTTTCCTTTCTCCAAGGCCTGTAGCTCTTATTGATTTAAAAAGACATGATAAAACCTGCATTAGACTGACATTGTGTGTTTCTTTCTTTTTTGCTCACTTCTACTTATACCAGCGCGAAATCTGATTTTGTTTTTCAGATTTTGCAGAAGTACAATGAGGAGAAGAGCACTGCCTTTCTGTATTTCATTTTGTCTCCCATATGCCTACGTTTCAACCTTCAGATTGGTCGCACAGACATTTTGTTTTTCTTTAAGTCCTCAGCTGGGAGAGACACGAGTGAAGCACGTCTCTTGGTTACGTGCTGATCAAGTGATTAGTTCAGCCAGGGCCCTGAGAGCACAGGGGAGAAAACTGAACTCCAAAGGCTCTCTGGAGCATCAGCCGATCAGATATCTCCTGGCCCTCTTCTCCTGCTGATCCACCAGGCAGTGATGGCCAACTGCAGATTCCTGGATTCTCGTGATCGACTGCCTGTTACCCTTCCCCAGGTCCTCCAACAACAGAACACAAAGGGCTTGACTGGATTCCACCTAGGGAAAGAGTTCAATGTGGCAGACAGGGCTATTTTATTTTTATTTAATGTGTGAAGGTGAATCACAATCAGGCAGAGCCATTAAAACACGAAAGCCTTTTTGATCAGCCCCTCACTCTCCTCCCCATGTTATGTGCTCCTCTGGGACTGGACAGCTCCCCCTTTGTCTTCTTTCCTTTTGTCTTTCAGAGTTTGTGGAGGAGCAGCACCTGAATGAGGCCGCTGAAGATCACCCAGGGCCCGGCTGTTCCTGAAAAAACACAGCCCCCTGGTAAGTAGCAGCTGAAGAGCACTTTATGCATGTTCTCAAGGCTCTTTTTAATTATACTGTACTTATATGATAAAAGGTTCATACACAAATGAACCTGTGAATTGTGCAGCACATGCTCATCAAGGAGTCTTTTTGCACATTTACACACTCCTGCCAAT